CACTTCACAACTTGGCCTATTATGGTTCATGGAGGAAGAAAGTAGAGCCAGGATCACAGCCAGGTGCTGTCCATCCACACCATCCAGGAAACAAAACCCACAGTGTTTTCTGTGTGCTACAGAAAGCAAACCTTCTATGTTATAGACTTTGGGCACAGCTTTTTGTTTTGATATTTAAATAGAAGTGATCACACAGTTCTTTGTAAAAAGTTCCCAAACTTTTATATTCATTCATTCAATAAATCTTTACTGAATGACTATGATTTGCCACGCATTCTTATAAGCACAGGAGATAGGCCAGCGGACAAAGTAGATATTGGTAGGTGCTCCAAAAGGCAGTAAGACAGAAGATGAGCCTGGGCAGGCTGTTGGGGATTATTTTATATAGTTTTATAATAGTAAAGGAATATTTCGTAGAGATCTAAAGGAAGGGAGGAGCAAGTCATGCAGATACGTGGGGGGAAAGGATTTCTAGACACAGGAAAGAACCAGAGCAAAGACCCTGAGACAGGAGAATGCTGATGGCATTCTGGGCACAGCACCGAGGGCAGTGTGGGTGTATCCAGGGAAACAGTATATGAGGTCAGAGGCGTGGCAGTGGCAGCCAGGGATGGGGCAAAGGTTAGGTCAGATTTATTAGGGCCTCGTAGACCATTGTATGGACACTGACATTCTGAGTTGGGGAGGCATTGAGGACTTGAGCAGAAAAGGGGCATAACCCGGCGTGTTTTAAAAGTGTCATCTCAGGACAGATGTGGGGTGGACTCATATTTGATTGTGGATATGCTCGGAAGCTGGGGAAAACAGGGGTTTTTTGTTTTTGTTTTTAGTGGATTGTATGTGGTATGTAAAAGAAAAACGAAGGGTAATTATAAGATTTTCTCATCTGGAAAAACAGTTGCCATTTATTTACACAGGGGAGACTGTCATGGGAATACATGGGTAGGTGGGGTGCAAATTAGTTTAGTTTTGGATATGTCGAATTTGAAATGCCAATTACACATCCAAATGAAGATGTCAAGTAGGAAGTTAGACATGTAAGTCTGGCAGAAGGGAAGAGGTTAGGGCTAGAGATAACAATCACACATTATCAATTCACACATGGTTTTTAAAGCCCCAAGACTGGAAAAAGATCACTTAGAGAGGGGATGTCCAGTGCTGGGCACTCTAGAAACTTGGCAAAGAAAGGTCAGGAGTGGTCTGAGACATGAGAGAATGAGAGGGATGTCCCAAAGCTGAGACAGAAAGTATTTCAGTGAGAAAAAAGGGATTAAGTGTGTCAAAGGTTGCAGATAAGTCAAACAGCATGAAGTGAGAGGTCTGGCCATTGCATTTGACAGCACGGAGATCACTGATACTGTGATCTCCATTTCAAATGTTAAGTGACAGAAACACTGTGGTCAGGATGCTGTGGTGAGGATGAAACCTGACTTGAGTTGGTCAGAAGACCAAAGGAGGAGAGGAATTGAAGACAACAAGTATATGTAATTCCCTCTGAGGAGTTTCTCTGTGAAGGGGAGCAGATAAAAAGATAGATAGTAGTTAAAGAGCATAGAGGGGTTAAGATGAGTGTTTATAAGACCAGAGATAGCACCATGTAGCGAAACCCTCCACTGGAACAGGGAAAATTGGTGATATAGGAAGGAGAGAGAAAGGTGTTGGGGCCATGGCCTTTATTTGATGAGGTCGGATGGGCATCTAATGAGAGCAAATGGGAAGAACTGACTGATATGAAGAAAGAAGGTGGTGTAGTAATTGATAATAAGTTTCACTGGGTAAGAGCAGGAAACTGAGAAGCCAGGATATTTATAGGATCGTCCCAGTGGATACTGAAATCGCCAGGAATTAAGAAAGGGCAGTGCCAGAGACAGTGACAGTGAGCTAAGAGCTTGCAAACTTAAGCAACGAGGGGAAGTGATGAAAGATAACTAGAGAAAGCACTGGGTGTTTAGAAGGAGGTATGGATAATGTTAAGTAGCCTTGCTTACTTAACATTACAAACAATTTGGGTTTGTTATGCTTTGTTTGCTTTTCCTTATCCATGCCTGAGGAAAAGCAGGCATCCTACCATCGTTTTATTATTCACATTTTGGCAGAGATAGAATTACTATATTCGGGGCATGGCAGTGATGACTATATGGGGAAACCTTGGCTTAGAACCTACCAAATCATTTCTAACTACTGCTTAAAACAATTGTAGATAATTGAAGGCTTTTTGTATGCAGGGGGTGGGGGCGGGGAGATACTTGAAAGTAATGAAAAGGTTCTGCTAGAAAATATGCCAAGAATATTTTCTTCTTTTATATCCTGACACAGGTGAGACTTACCCAGTTTCAGTGCATTTTTGACAATTGAAAACACTTTAGAAAACTGGAGGTTTAAACAATGTAAACACTTGTAGGCAGAGTAAAATGATAGATTCCCCTTCCAATATAAATTTGGCATCTCTACAGTTGTTAACATTGTAAATAAGACAGCTAAAAGGCATGAAAATAGTTTTACAACATCCAATTTTAAAATTCATCCAAGCTGTCATCCTCTTTTCCTGATGCAGATTTATTTCTGTCACTTAACATTTGAAATTCTGATTTAGGGTAACGCCTAAAGTTTTTAAATGAACCATAATTCAATATTACTATTTCTTAACATTAACCCCAGGAGAAGAGGTAAGAAGGGGCAACTGGGGCTGGATATTTGCTATGTACAAATAACGAATGATCCACAGCTGCAAATGAAAACTCACCTTTTTTTAACCAGCATTTATTTGCTCAGCCTCAATAGTGCAATGACTTGGTGTTGATAAAAATGAACCATCATAACCAAACCCTATTATACAAAGTGTTGAGTTAGTTTGATGATGTCTGCACAAAGTCAAAAACCTAGAAACTCTAGGACATTTCTATTTTTAACTGTATTTTCTAATCTTCATCCAAATGTTTGGCATCATAGACACAGAGTCCAAGATTTTGTTCTGAAATTAAAATAGCTGAGGCCCTGGCCAGGGCACATACAGGAATCAACCGATAAAAGCATAAATGAATAAAACAAATTGATGTTTCTCTGTTTCTTATGCTCTCTCTAAAAATCAATACATTTAAAAGTATTTCTTATAAAAAATCTGAAAACCTATCCAAAGATTTTTGTTTTTGTTTTTTAAATCTCTTTATAGGAATTGAGTTTTGGTGCATTCTGGCACTTTCTGGAATGGCAGACCTAGAATAAAGTTCAAAGCACAGAGTTATGGCCTCATACTGTTTAACACTATGCACATTTTTGAATATTGTAGTTGTGGAAAAAATTCTGAGAACAATGATACAGTATGAAAATAAAGTGATACTAGATAATATTTGGTAGAAATGTAACAAATGGTCAGTTTTGAATTTTCAAGTTCCCAAGAGGTTTGCTTTGCTGGGGCTTCTGAAAAGAGATCAGCTTATGCCCATTTTGAGACCCATGAAAGGACAGCACACGTCAGGGTTCCCGATACAGCTGTACTGGTCAAGGCTACAAATGTAGTGGCATTTAGGACAAATATTGGCAGGTAACTGAAATCAAATTTCGACTTTTGGATTTTTTGTTGCAAGAATGTAGTCTCAGGGGAGGCCCGTTTTGGGTTTGTTTGTTACGCTTTGTTTGCTTTGGTTAGATTTAAATTTTTGAGGAATGAACTAAAAGGTAACTAATGTCAGAACATATCAGAAGGGATTTGGGAATTCTGAGGATGGTAGGTAGGATGATTCAGAATGATCATCAGTGTGTTGTGATATTCTCCTGATTTCCTCCCTTAGGTTAAAAAAGTTTGCTTTTCTTTCTTAAAAATGACATAGCACATTATGTATCTTAAAGCAATCAGCACAAATGCAAGTGATACCTGTTTAAGCAGACTTTAGAAGACAGCACACATTATTAACAGAAAGAGCTCTTCCACATTTCAAGAATACAGTGATGGGGACTGGTACACATAATAGTAGGGAAAACTTTTTTTTTTTAACTTCATAAATGTGAGGTCTGACTTCAGTCACTCCCTTGTCTGGCAATGAGCAAAACCAAAATAGCTCTGGCTTGAATTTCACAGTTCTTTCTCATCTAATGCACAAGAGGGACCAGAGACACCAATTACCAATGAGTCACAAGAACAGACAGAAAACTGTTAGTAGATCTTGACAACCAGGAATTACAGAGCTTTTAAAAAAATGTGTACTTGATGAAAAGTATGCCAGGAGTTTATCTTAGGAAGCAATGTCAACGTGTTAGAAAAATGGAGTCCCCGTCCAAGCGGGATTTCACCTGCACCATAATCTATACTGTTGAAATAGTGCTAGATCATCTTGAAGTATCATCGAAAAGTCTTCAAGAAAAATAATGTGGAACTGAGTGCAAACTGTCTTCATTTATATTGTGGGCAGTGACAATGCTACGAATATAGCTGGAATGGGGAGGACTTTGTCATTTGAAGGGATCTTACAGGTCATCCATTCCTACCACTCACTGGATGCAGGAATCCATGTGACAGTGTCTCTGACTGGTGCCCAGGAATGATGGTAACCTGTAAGACCCTGGTCTGAGACTACGGTTGGGCTGATTCAGTGGGTTTTAATGCATGATTATCAATTTAGGGCAGCAAGGACTGAAGATGTAGTGAAACTTACTTTGCAAGGAGAGCTCAGTTTCTCTCTGTAGAAAAATAAAAATAAAATAAGCTAATGATAGGGACAAAAGTCTTCTATAGAAGAACAAAAGCTAACAATGGAAACTAACTAGTCTCAAATCTAAAGAAAATTTTATGAAGATGCCATTAAGGTGAGAGAAGCAAAACTTTCTCCCTGTCAAAAAAAAAAAAAAAAAAAAAGCAAATAAAAAATTTGGCATTTGTTCTGAGCGACAAAAACAGCATTTTGGGATATTTTGCACGACCTAAGCACCAGTATGTCAGGGTTAGGGCCTGTCCTGATTGAGGAGAATGTATTTTTGTAGATAAAAGCTTAAGGAAATTCCTTAGATATCTTTTAAGGAGTACACAGGTTTGTGTGTGTGTGCGTGTGGGGGACACTTATAAATTTGGTTTTGCCTTGTACTCAGTGTAAAATACTTGTACAAAAATATAAAAGGCATGGCTTGATGTTTAACGTCTGTGTTTTATTGTTGTTGGCACCAGAAAAAGCTCATGTTCTATGTTATGTCACTGTACATACTGTAAACAAGACTGCATTAATATTGTTTTCTTATGAGTTTTTGTTTCAATGAATCTAGATTTTAAAAAATACATTCACAAACTACCTTATGTTTAAACACAATGATTCCCTTTTATTTCTTAACTGTACCCCAAATCCCACAATAAAAAAATCATTTAAAGCTGTGTGTTTCAAACTTATCACTTAGAAATAAAAACAAAACATAACATGAAAACAAAGATCAGTTTGCAACATAATTTAAAGAAGCTTCTGGTTTAAAATACCACAGCAGCAATATAAAGAGCTGGTGGCAATCACATTTGGGGATGAGACCCAAATCAATATATTTTGTTCACATCCGCATCCAATTATAGTAGTTGCTAAATTCAATCCAAAAAGTTATTGCTGAATTTGTTGCATGGAATTTGTGAAGATAGTATTGTTCAGCAGCAGAATCACAGCAGTAAAAATGAGAACGGGAGGATTTCATTGCTTTTGAGAGCTAAGGGACCATGTTGAGGACATCGTGGTGATTGCCTGAAGATAATCCCCAATTCCTTTCTTGTGTTACCTGCTTAAAATAATGCAAACGACAACCACCTTTACAGGAGGGGCATGATCATCTACTTCAGAAACCAGAATAATTCCCCTTCCCTTCCCTCCCTCGTCCAAACCACCAGATTGAAATGGCTCCATTTCCCTAATGCGTATTTCGTTCTCATTAATAGTACATTAGCTGCTCATGTATTTAGGCAAAATCAGTAGGATCACAGATTTTTCTTTTTCTTTTTTTTTTTAAATCTGTTTGCAGTAGCTGTTTTCTCCAGAAACAAGCCACATTAGTTTCTGCTGTTGGATTTTTTTTTTCTTTTTTTTTTAGTTTTCAACAAGAACAATTTGGTCAACTACTGTTTGTTTAAAAAATATTAAATACACCTGAGATTGCCAGTTGAGCTCTCTATATGTCTCCTGGAGATAACACTGCTGTGATGAACAGTGAAACAAAACGAACGAAACGAGGTAGGTTAAAACAGGAAGCGCAACACAGATACCGGTTTGCAACACCTCGATACCACAGGTGGCCATGCTTGTAGCTTTGGAAAAAAAATCCCAGACAGTCACGTAAAAGTTCAAATCATCTGAATAAGAGTTTATAAGGACACGAGTCAACCTGAACTAAATACACACATTATCTCTGCACAAATGTTGTTTACCATATGTTGGGTAATTTGGAGGAAGGTAAAATGATTAGGATCTCAGAATTTTGGCCAAAGCCTTGCTTTCAAGTTCTATAAAATCGGAACCAATGATGCCTACTGTCTCAGGCAGGCATAGTAGTCTAGTCCCTTCTCTCACCAACCCAAGAGAACACAGGCAGCTCAGAAACATTTATCAGTATTTTTTTTCAGTCACAGTTTTCATCTTGAGAAAGTGGCATTGTCAGGAGGAAGCTGGGAGTGACCCGAGCCTGGATGTCATTCACACCCCACTTAGAACTCAACAAAGTCTCATTCCTCATGAAGCCCAAACCGGGTGACCTCTTAGCCGGGAGGCCTTGTATATTTAAAAAAGAATGTGTGTGTATGTGTTTTTTTTAATTTTGTTTCCCAGAAGCTCTTTCTGTTTGACCTCATCTGCCATCCCATCTTTTGCCCTGACCTGTTGCATAATAGCTGAGGGAAAAGTACGTTATGGGATCCCTCAATCACTAGAGCCAACTCAACTCAATGACACGACTGTCCCATTCAACACACTCCATTCTGTACAGGGCCATATAAAAATAGGGCCTGTCAGACTCAAAAATGGCAGTTGATTTTATTAGTCTAAGGCTAATAGTTTAGCCATTTAAAATCTATTTCCCAAAAGAGGGGAAAACAGTACAGTATTTTTCTTCTCTTAAAAATTCATTAGCCAGTTGCTACCAAAAGCAACCTTTTGGGTTGGTGAAGGCAAAAGAGTTCTAAAGTTACCCCACTATGCAGTTATGGCCTTCAGTGTAAGGAGATAAGGTACATTTATTGTGCTGTCTCTCACCATTTGAAATTGGAAATTTTACAACATATTGTATACTTAAAGCTAGCAGGCAGACAGAATTAAAAACAGACTAATTTTCTCAGTATGCATTCTCTCCCCATTCTGACAAAGTAAGGGAGTAAAGAAAAAAGGTAAAAAACAAAACAAAACTCAGAATCCACCATAACACAGCTTAATCATAAGAGCACACAATATTTGTTTCTACCCCTAACTCCGAAGGGCACATGGTCCATCTTTGTCCACAGCAACGAAGCATTCTTGGGGATCTCCTGGAAATTCTTGCCACCTTTTTCTCTCCTTCTCAACCAGGCTGCAACATTGAAAGATGGACTGTTTTGGGACGGGAGGAGGGAGAGGAAAAGGGGAAAGTGGTATGTTCAACCAAGCCTTCTGATTCTGCCTCTAGACTGGCATAAGTCCACATGAGTTATGTTCTTTTAAATTAGAAATAACGCCATGAAGATAAGTGCCAAGTGCTCTTCTGTTACCAGTTCATCATGGAATTTCTGTTGAGGGTCATGAAAAACACTTGGCTACTTCCTCCAGATCGCACGGATGCAAAAAATACCTGTTTGAAATTAAAAAGAAGTTAGTTCAACTGCATGGTTTCTTTCCCTCTTTTCTTCAACCGTCCATCCATTTTCTCTCACATGTCCTATCCTTGCCATGCGTCAGCTCTTAAGACTCAATGGCTGGTGTTTATAAAGCGCCTTTTCATACCGTGCATCCTCTGTAAACACTCCTGCCTTTATTACTATGATTGTTATTATCACTTTTTGCAGGATTGGCCTTTGGGGTCAATCTTGACTTGTAACTTCCCTTTGGGTGCTCACATTTTAAAAGGGAGTTTTGTGCTAGGATAACATGCTGGATTTCGGCCTAGGACACAACAGGTCCTTTGTTAGTTTTTGGAAAGCCATGGAGGCTCCCCTTCCCTCCCTTATACAGGCAAGAGGGCAGCCTTTGGGACTAAAGAGAATCCTTTCGAATTCCCAAAGTCAGGGGGGAAATTTTGGGTAAACTGACTTTAATTCTCAATTTTTAAAATTAAAAAACAATAAAATGGTTGTGGTCAGAGGGGATAAGTGTTCAACGTCTATTCACTTTGGCATTTCAAGAATTAATGCTCGGGCTCTCTGCTGATGCAGGCATATCCTCGGCCAAAGGAGATAATGGCATTAGTAAGCAGAACCACAGTCCATTAGGTCTGGGTCTGTTAAATCATTTTATCAAGCAACTGAAAGAAGTGAGCAAATCTGGGTTGCTGCTTGCCTGAGCTGAATGTCAATGGACCACTGCCCTAGGAAAATAGTATTTTGGGCGGTGGCCTAGCCCTTTATTCAGCCAACGCCAAACTTTGGTCCAAGGCATTTACTTTTGTCACTAGTATAAAGTCTCTGCTACTTCATTTCCACAACCTCTTCAGAAGAATGCTGTGGAAATGCTTGCCGTTCAGTTAATGCTACATAGGTAAGTAAAGCTACTGTTAGGGTCAATGAATCAAAGTGGGTAAGCACAGAGGACCCATGGAAACACAATGAGGGGAAGAAAGAGCTGCTGTTCTCGCCCGGCTGTGCGCGCTCTGGACTTCAAACTTCGGGCCCCAGATACAGGTGTGGTCCCAGCCTGCTCCTGAGGGTGCGGCCATGGCTTGGCACAGCTTGTTGGGGTGGGTCTTCAGTAAATGAGGACTGTAGGAGCCCATGCCCAGATCACTGTTAGTCTTATAATTTGCACACACTAGGTGGTGGTGGGGGCTGGGGTTTTAATAGGGGATGGTCTGGCCTACTCTGGTCAGGCCCATCCTCGTCCCCTGTAGCTATTGTCCACCGAGACCAGGCCCGGTCAGAGTGGTCGGCCAGGGTCAAATCTAGTCTAGACCCACACCTCCAGGGTTGGACTAAGACCAGTCCGGATGGGCCAAGAGATGTATAATCTGTTCAACCCATTCACATTCTTTTCTATCGGTGTTTATGTCAGCTGTTTTGGAGACAGCATTTCTAAGTTGGCCAAGGTCACAGAGGATGAATTCACAAATGCAGTACAGCGTAGCTGCTAAAAAGCTTGGATTATTCTACAGGAAGGACACGGGAGGAGCAGCAGTGCTGCAGAATACCCTTCTGAGGGCTGAGCATGCCAGAGAACACCGCCACTTCCACTGGAAATAGTCCCCCTGCGACACTGAAGAAACATGGCGGGATGACACAGGACATGGCACTAGTTGAGTTTGTGACTGTGCATTCCTTAAGGAACGGGTGACACTTTTTAAGTTTATATTTCTACATGTCAAATGTTTTCCATTTAAAGGTGAATATAATGTGATAGGTTAGGTCTCAAAAGTGACTTTGTGAAAAGCCTAACAGTGGAATATAAAGTTGACCCACTGTGAGATGATTAATGATGGACCAACTTTTCTAAGTGCTTAGGAGAATTTGGGGTGTCTGCTGAATCACCGTAAGGTCTGCAGGCCACAAAAGTCACTAAGAGTTTATGAGAAACTTTTAGATATGTTCATGTCTTTTTTGATAATGTAAGTAATACATTTTGAGGGTTCACATAAATCAAACCAAATAATGCCATTTCAAGATAATATTGATTGTTAACACAGATGTGATTCAAATAAGTAGAAAGGAAAATGAAGGTTTCACAGGTACCTGGTGGTCTCTTAAAATGCAAACACTAATGCAAATGTTGAAACGGATTTACCTTATCATTTCTTTCACATAGAAACTTTAACCTTTGAGCTCGCTTATGCATAAATACTCCATCCAAATGTCCTGTTTCCACTGACCGGATCTCAATAGCTTTCTCGCCCCAGCCCATTATCTGATTGGAATGAATGTAGGCTGTCAAAAGGAATTTCCAAAACTGCATTAAAAACATTAGATGGGCAATAACTCACAGCATCTGTTCACATCTTAACCACAAAAATGACAAACAACTTGAGATAAACAGACAAAGCAAGTCTTACAAGTGTTATTCACAGATTTTTTTTTTTTTTTTTTTTTTTTTTTTTGGTGGAATCAAATGGTTGTTTCACATTTCTTGACTTTTGTTTCATTTGGGGGGTGTAACTGCTGAAGGAGATAAGGAATGGTTAACCTACCCACAGACGTGGGCATTTCTCCCCATTGGAGCACCACATCCTTAGTTATCCGGCCGTAGGTGTTTACATACACCCCCTCATCCTCATAGCAAACAAGCATTTCCATCCCATCTGTTTTAGGCAAGATGACAATGGCATGAGGAGTGATATTGCCCTGAATCTAGAAGACAAAGAAAGACCAGGCATTATTCTTTTTAAAAATAAGCAACATCTTACCTAGTAATATCTAACAATTGCAAAAAGAGGTTTTCTTTTTTTCTATTTTCATTCTAGAGGCTGACATTCCGATTTGCTTAATTTATCCATCTTTTGGTCACATACTCTGGTAAACACAAACTTAGGCAGTAGGTCAAAAATCCCATTTACCTGTTCCTGAAAATAACAGCAACTCTGGAGCACCTACTATGTACCAAGCACTGGGCTTTTTAACTGTACAATTTCTAGGCCTTAGAGCAGCTCCCCGTGGGAGATATCTCTGCCCACACACGAGGCAACTACACTTAGAGGGATTGTGTAACTTGATCAAAGCCGCACTAGTATGTGCTGGTAGCACTGGGATTTGAACACTTGTCTTGTAGATGCTGAAAATCACATGGTTTCCACCTACTTCCAAAACAGATTAAAAGAAGTTGAATCTGATGGAGAAGAGCCTAAACGAGGCCAAAAGGTAGGGTCAGAAGGTGGAACAAAAACAGACTTCTACGAAATGGGCTCTGAGCAAATAACACAGGTTGTTTTTCTGGGTATCTAAGGAACAGAAACATCCAAATTAAGGGTTTGTTTAGGAAAAAAACGTGACGTTACCACTCATTCAAAAAAAGTCTTACTACTGAAATAAGTGGAGATTGACTTGTTCTAGGAAAAGATGTGGTGCTGCTGTGCTCCCTGGCTGAGGATGTCATGGCGGTCCAAGGGCTGCCTGGAAGATAGGGGTGGCGGGGCCAAGGGTGGTCCTGGTGAGGCTTCAGCATGTGAGCTACAACTTGTGTGTGGGTGCGCATACACATGAGGCAAAAGCTATAATGCAATAACGAATGAAGTGTGTGTGTGTGTGTGTGTGTGTGTGTGTGTGTGAGTGAGTGATGTACTACAATAACTCTTCAATTGTATTTCTTTGGAGTAAAGTCTTTAAACTTTTAAAACACAAATCAGTGACAGGTCATGCCTTGGATTTTCCTAATAAATAGTTTTTACTGGATGTTGGCCTTGGGATTACATCAAGGAGACACAATTGACAATGCACCAATCCTACTGAGTGAAACCATGTGCAGCATTTGGGTGAAAAAGGTGAAGGGATTAAGAAGTACAAATGGGCAGTTAGAAAACAGTCATGGGTTGTAAAATACACCATAGAGAGTATAGTCAAGAATATTGTAATAACTTTGTATGGAGCGAGATGGGTACTGACTCATGGCGGGGAACACTTCATAGGCTATTTAAAGGTCTATCCACTGTTCTGTACACCTGAAACTAATTTCAAAAGTTGATCCACTTTACTGATTAGTAAAAGCATGACTTCTACTAAAAACAGCAAATCTCTTTTTACATGCAGGTTGTTGTGTAGAGAGCCCTGACAGTTGGCTTCAAGGAACTTACATGAGATGGTATGTAGATATCATAAGAGTTTCCTGAATCAACATCAATTACATGGAAACCAGTGTGTGAACCAAAAATAACCTTTAATCTTTGTCCTTCTTCTACTGTGAGATCAACAAGCAGTGGCTTGTGCTGGAGATCTGCAAAAGACTTTAAAAATCACCCCATGAGTATACACATCATTCTAAGACATCATCTTAACAAATTTTTCCTTTAGCCATTGCCTAGCGGAATTGGATATCTTTCTTAAATAGAAAAACCAGGAAATTTCTTTTTCCAAATTAAAATTTTTAGGTATATTTATTGATTATGCTATTACAGTTGTCCCATTTTTTTCTCCCCTTTATCCTTATCTGCCTCTGCCCCACAACCCCCTCCCTCCAGCATCCCCCTCACTTAGTTCATGTCTATGGGTTGTATTTAAAAGTTCTTTGGCCTCTCCATTTCCAATACTATTCTTAACCTCCCCCTGTCTATTTTGTGCCTACCTATTATGCTTACTATTCCCTGTCCCTTTCCCCCCAGGCTCTACCTTCCCCCCAGCCCTGATAACCCTCTCTGTGATCTCCATTTCTGTGATTCTGTTCCTGTTTTAGTTGTTTGTTCATGTTTTTTTTTTTTAGGTTCAGTTATTGATAGTTGTGTTTGTTTTCATTTTACCAGTCATAGTTTTGATCTTCTTTTTCTTAAATAAGCCCCTTTAACATTTCATATAATAAGGTCTGGGTAATGATAAACTCCTTTAGTTTTACCTTGTTTGGGAAGCACTTTATCTGCCCTTCAATTCTAAATGATAGCTTTGCTGGATAGAGTAATCTAGGTTGTAGGTCCTTGCTTTTCACAACTGCGAATACTTCTTTCCAGCCCCTTCTTGCCTGTAAGATTTCTCTTGAGAAATCAGCTTACTGTCTTATGGGAACTCCTTTGTAGGTAACTCTTTTTCTTTTGCTGCTTTTAAGATTCTCTCCTTATCTTTGATCTTGGGTAATTTAATTATGATGTGTCTTTGTTTCTCCTTGGATCCAACTTCTTTGGGACACTCTGAGCTTCCTGGACTTGCATGTCCATTTCCTTTGCCAGACTGGGGAAGTTTTCATTCATTATTTTTTCAAATAAGTTTACAATATCTTGCCCTTCCTCTTATCCTTCTGGCACCCCTATGATTCAGATGCTGGAATGTTTAAAGTTGTCCCAGAGATTCCTAAGCCTGTCCTCATTTTTTAAAATTCTTGTTTCTTCATTCTGTTCCAGCTGAATGTTTCTTTCTTTCTTTTGTTCCAACTCATTGATTTGAGTCCCAGTTTCCTTCCTTTTGCTGTTGGTTCCCTGTACGTTTTGCTTTATTTCACTTTGTATAGGCTTCACTTCTTCCTTTACTTTGTGTCTGTATTCAACCATTTCTGTGAGCATCCTGATTACCAGTGTTGTTAACTCTGAACTTGATACATTGGCTCTCTCTTCCTACCCTAGTTTTTTTTCTGGAGTTTTGATCTGTTCTTTCACTTGAGCCATATTTCTTTGTCTTGGTGCACCTATTACATTGTAAGGGGCAGAGCCTTGGGTATTTGCCAGGGCAGGGCAACCCTCTTTGCTGTGCTGTGGCACTGTATATGGGGGAAGGGGTCAGAGAGGGAATGACACCATTTGCTTGGCTCTTGCCCCGTTTTTAGTCACTTCCCTCACTTCCCACAAACAGACTGTGCCCTTTCAGGTGCTGATTCCTGGGTAGGTGGGCTTGTGTACGTTCTAGGATCCCAAGGGCCACTCTGATGGACTCTCCTCTGAGGCTGGGAGTTTCTCTTGCTGCTGCAACCCCCACAGATTTTTGCTGCTAGAGTTTTAAGGCTTCAGTTTCCCATGCTGGAACCCTGGGTTGCCTGGTCTGCCTTGCTCCCCAGTTGTTCCTCCCAGCTTATCTGCACTCAAATGTGGGACTGACTGTTCTGCCAGCTGGCGCCTTGTCACCTGTCCTCACCTCTGGCTTCTTGTCTCTGCCTCTCCTACCTGCCTGGATGAGTGTTTCTTCTTCAGCTCCTTGGTTATTGGACTTCCACAGAGTTCAATTTTCTGGCAGTTCTGATTGTTTTTTGTTTTTAAATTGGTTGTTATCCTTCTTTTGATTGTGCGAGAAAGCAAAGTGTATCTACCTATGCCTCCATCTTGGCCAGAAACCCAAAAAACCAGGAAATTTCTGTTTCAATTTTAGGTCTACTCATATTCTGGCTCTAGGGAAAGGGGTCTAGGATTGATTTGTGCCCCTTTCTCTACCCCCTGGTCCTCCAGGACAGAGAAGTAGTTTATAGTTGTCAATTTTTGATGCTGTCATTGTATATTAAAAACTTGCCTGGGTATTGCTGTTCTTTCCTGTTTATTTCTGGCCTTTTCCCTCACATGAGACAGCAAGGCCCATGCATGGCTGCTACCTTTTCAGAGGCCACCTAGGGTGGGCCACCAGGCCAGCTCTATGCTAAGTCTGTTCTGGATTGATGGGAGGGTTGGGGTAGAACATCACAAGACTCATTTTTTGTTTACATGAATATTTATAGCAGCTTTATATGAATAAACCCCCAACCCAGGAAAAACCCAGTTGTCATGCTTTGGCAGGTAAATGGTTAAACAAATTGTGGTATATCCATACTACGGAATACTACTCAGCAGTACTAAGGAACAAGCTACCAACACAGGCAACAACCTGGATGAATCTTCAGAGAACTATGCTTAGTTGGCTAGCTGGGTTTAGCTAGAGAGGAAAAAAGAGAGCCCCAGCTAATTTTACCTAGGTCCCATGTGTTTGAATAAGAGCCAAAGCCGCAACTAGCCATCAAGTGTTCTGTTTTCTTTTGTCGTCCTTTGCCTTTATTGGGTTTTGAAGTCTGGGAGAGAATTTGTGAAACCACAAGTGCCTCACTATAATGCCTCTGCCCCCAACAGACCCCTCTCTCCTCATCCATTGCTAACATCATTCTCACAGCATGGGAGGCCCTGGCCTCATATCTGTGTCCTATGGGAGGGCTCGGCGCCCTGCCAACTCCAATCTTTTTGATTAAAAAATGGTTGGAGCTGGTAAGCCTTTGCTCCTTCTTCTTTCCTGGCTGGCTGTGATCTGCTGAACAAAGCAATTCACACTCTCTCATGCACTTTGGCTAGAAAACTGATGGCAGGAACTCCAGAACTGGAAAGGGATCTTGATTGAAAAGCTTTTGTGGAGAGAGAGTTTGGCAGACCAGTAGTACCGCTTCAGCTTTTAGGAGTGATCCCTTAAGTGCTATTACTAAAGCATTCCAAAAATTTCTCTCTGTAAAAGTGTAGGGTTAGGAAGGGGGGCCCATTTCCACTGATGAATCTGTCTTCTTGAGCATATCACAAATAAGCCCCTAGTGCTAAGGGAACAAGAAAAAAGTGGGTGATTCAGACCTGAGGAGGGGCTCATAATGTTCCCAATGCAGCTTCTGCCCTCACATGGCATAGTTGGGGAGAAAGAATAGATAAAGGGTCAATGAGAATAATGGCCAAAAGGTGGGGAAATAGTGAGAACCAGTGAAATATAAAGAGAGAAACATAGGCAGAGAGAGAGAGAGAGAGAGAATGAATAGAAGATACATTTACATTGGCTATGGACAGACTATGCAGCTCTGGAAACGTCAGAGTGCCCACAAGTACTGGTCCTTCTGGCATTTGGGGGTCAGTTTCCATGATCTGGGGCAAGAGGACTAGCATATCCCTATTCCACTGCTGTTGAACCTTATGAGTGATCAGTCTAGCTATGGTGGGTAGAGACTCAGACAAGGTCAAAATAATTAAAACGTCATCAAAATTGAAGAACGAAGAGAAACTAATTTAGTCATTTTCAGACATGACTAAATTCAGTCTTCATTTCAGAGAAACCTAACAGCACTGGAGATATGGAACATTAGGTGAGTTTTAAGACCTTTACCTCACAAAGCTTATGAAGATTACAAGATTCAGAGACTCATTTCAACCTTGCAATTCAGTGCTGCTGTTGGTCTGCCTTTTCCAAATGAAATATCAGAGAGTGCCCTGGTTAGATAGCTGTATGATGAGTCTCATTGCCTAATATCACAATTAATGATTCACCCGGGAACCATTTCATGCTAAATTCTACTTGGAGATATTGATTCATAGACCTGAAGTGGAGTACTGTGTACTCAAATTTTAGTTTGACTAATTTTATAGCATTTGTTAGTTCTTAGTCTTTACTTTTAGAATAATAAATCTAAGTGTTTCTATACTTTTAAAAGAGGTTTATTATGTATAGGAATATTAGTATTAGTCTATATGTAAGACAGACCACTTTATTAACAAGTATTTTTTATGTAATCACATGCCTGCTTACCTTAAATGCCATGAACTTATGATATGGTTTTGGAGCCCAAGCATATATCTCCACAGCATTCTTTAAGGCAATCACCAAGAATTTGATCCTTTCATATTTAACTGTAATAGAAAAGTTGTAAGTTAAAAAAACATATTAATTTATTGAATAAACTCTGCATTTCATATACTCACAACTGTAAACTTATTTTTGCCCCACTCTTTACAAAGAAAACCTTAATTGAGGGTGATGCCATTGGTATGGGATTTTGGTATATTGTAGACACAGATTTAACTACCTTTAGTGTACCTGGTTTGCATAATGCTTGGGGCTTTTGGCTTTATACTGAGGGTTCTTTTCTTTACCTAAAGATGTATCTGGTGTAGGACTGTCTTTAACCACTAGGTTTAGGTGTGGGCTATTTACCATAATAAAAATCTACAAGAATATCCCTTAATGTTTCCTTGCCTGGATTTTATGCTCATCCACATGTATGTAAGTAGCTGAGAGACAGTAGAAAAACTATACAATAGGTAGAAACATAAAGCCTTCTGTTTGCTTATTCTTTAATTTTGAATTCCAATTATTAAAAATTTATAAGGGATTAGTGCCCTTATAAAAGAGACCCTAGAAAAAGCCCTCTCCTCTTCTGGTATGTGCATTTGCAGTGACAAGACAATGGTCTGTGAACCAGGAAGTGAGCCCTCAGCAGGCAGTGCATCTGCCAGTAACTTGGTATTGGTTGGACTTCCCAGCCTCCAGAATTGTGAGAAATAAATGCCTATTGCTTGCAATTCTTGCGCCCAGTCTGTAGTATTCTGTTATAGCAGCCTGAACAGACTAAGTACATATGATATTTAAATTTTTTAAAATTATTTTATGCACTATCTGAACAATGTTCTGTCTTAAAGAAACTGGATATCCCAGAATAACACCAAATTCCTGTTCTTTGAGCTCTTTTTTTCTGTAACATGTTCCTTCTGTTTATACATTCTGTCTTTAATATACTTTCAACTACTTCTTTGCAATTTAGCAAATTATAAGGATGTTTCTTCATAACATCCTTATAATGTATTTCTTGATTTTTTTTTCAGTTGTAGATACTATCTACTGACTTTGTAGTATGGAAAAGATTTAGTTTCTTACAACCATTTCCTCTCTCTAGTTCTCTCTGTTAAACACACACATTTCTTCCTCTCCCACAACTTCAATGAAGTCATATTTTAAATTTTTGGTTAATTCAATGATCTGTGTTCAAATTATTATTGTTCTCAGATGAGGCACATCGTATACCATAATTGTATTTCCTTTCTTATTTTCCTGTCCTTATTTTCTATGTATGTATCTCTAAGTATGTGTAAACCTTCTGCTAATGCAGTAAATGCCTTCACCACAATCAAACGTCACAGGCAACCTATTAGTAAAATTTTATTTTTCTTGAATGCACCTCTTTTGGAATCCTCCATCATTCTATTCTGTTTGGATTGATATATACACACATACATATACCCTATTGGTTTTGTTTTTCTGGAGAACTCTGGTGAATACAGGTGGATTATAAAATACTGAGTGAAAATAACTTTTCCTTCTGAATTTTGAAGACTTGCTCCATTATCCTCTAATTTTCTAGTGTTGCTGTAAGTCCAAGGCCACCTGATTCTGGGTCTATTATAGGTAAACTGTTTGTTTGTTTGTTTATTTACTTATAATCTGGAAGCTTCAAGGACCTTCTCATTTTCTGGATACTGAAATATAATGTTCTTATCTTTTTGTGTTTTTTCACCATTATTCTGAGTACTCAATTCTTTTAATTTGGTATTTCAAGACTTTAGTTATAACAACTTTTCTTGTATTCTTTCTTGGATACTTTCTTCCCTTTCCATTTCTTATTTTCTAAAACTCATGTTACTTAGATTTTGAACCACTTGGACTGATTTTTTTATTTTCTTAACTTTCTCTTTATCCCCTCAATTTTTTTGTTCTACTTTCTAGGAGATTTCTCATTTTTATCTTCCAACATTTCTATTATATTTTTATGACTGCCATTGTTTTGATTTCCAAGATTTTTTCCTTGCTTTCTGAATGACTTCCCCCAACCTCGCTCCACATTTTTAACAGCCCTTATTATTCTTTTATGGAAACAGTTTTTATAAACTCTCTGAAGTTATTGTTTCTTTCTTTAAAATTTTCTTCCACTCCTCATTATCCTTGTTCCCTCTAAAGAGCTAAGTTTTCTACTTATAAGTAGATTTCCCCCTGTCTGATATGTGGGCTTATTGACTGCTGGGCTCCACTTTAAGAAGTTAGACATCTAGCTTCGTTGATGGCATATCGAATATTAGTACCTGAACATCTTTTCTTTCTGGTCATTTAGTTTCTCCACAGACAAATCTCTGACTCTGCTTGGGGTTTAAGCATGGCTGCCAACATTTTAGGAACTAAAGATGGGATGGAGTGTGCGAATGTGTGTGTATGTATGTATCTTCAAAATTCAGTATTCCTCCTCATCAAACTGGCTGTGACAATCTTTTGTCTTCTATTTTAATTGGGGAGGGTGGTTGCCTAACTGGCTTCTGGAGGACTTGCTACTCATTAACTTTCCAACAATCCACCTATTATTAGTTCTACTCTAAGCTTCCACCTCAAATATACCTGCAGCCTCAGGTCTAGGGACTTTCTGGGTTCTGTAAAGTGACTGGATTGATTCTGAGGAATTTATTCACTGAAAACTTAAAATTCAGCACTTCCTGGTCAGCTAGGTTTGTTTTTAGTTCCCCAGCTACTCTTGCTCAATTTTGTTTTGACATCTCATTTGCTGGTCCCTTTGTCCTTGTGGGTTTATAGTATTTTTATCCCTTAATTGTCATTTTAATAGGTGGGAGTGGATATACATATTTAAACTAGAGCCTAGGACTTAATTCTGAATGCACTTCCAACTTCATTCATTTTTTTTTTTTTTTTTGAAATAATGTAAGTATACTTAAGGCTTCAGCAACCTCTTGGTCACAAATGAATCATCAACATATGATAGAAAAAAAACTGAATGAAACTTAACTGAATAATTCCGATTCAGTAGAAAAATAGTTCCATGTCTTGAGACTTACCAACTTTGTAATGTATACAGCCTTCCAAGTCCCCAACGGTGATCCAGCCTTGTTTCTTTTCCACTTCTGGGTCATTGTGTAGTATTCTGTTCCTTAACCATGAAAGATAGTAAACTCGTAGCTTATTCTTCTTTCCTGTTGAAATAATAGAGCTTTCATTTAAAAACCCTGTGACAGCTTTTTCGACAGCTTTTTCTCTCAATCTACCTCATCTCTATTTTATTTTAATTCACTTATTTTCATTTACGTGTGTATGTTTGTGTGTGTATATCAAGGCACATTAACCAGTGTCTAGCATTGTCAAAGAGTGTCTCTGCCAAATCTTATGATTAAACCAGCTCTAATTGTTTTGGACACATAACTATTTTTTTAAAAATATATTTTATTGATTATGCTATTATAGTTGTCCCAATTTTTCTTCCTTTGCCCCCTTCTGCCTGGTAACCCCATTCCTTTCAGCAGTCCTCTCCCATAGTTCATGTCCCTGGGTCATGCATGTAAGTTCTTTGGCTACTCCATTTCCTACACTTTTCTTAAGATTCCCTATTCTGTGCCTGCCAATTTGTACTTCTTAATCCCTGCACGTTTTCTCCCATTCTCTCCCTTACCCCTCCCAAGTGATAACCCTCTAAATGATCTCCATATCTATGATTCTGTTCCTGTTCTGCTTGTTTGCTTAGTTTGTTTTTTAGATTCAGGTGTTGATAGCTGTGAATTTGTTGTCTTTTTAATGTAAATAGTTTTGATATTTTTTTTTCTTCTATAGTTCCCTTCAACATTTCATATAATAATGACTTGGTGATGATGAACTCCTTTAGTTTTTCCTTGTTTGGGAAGCACTTTATCTGCCCTTCAATTCTAAATGATAGCTTTGCTGGATAGAGTAATCTAGGTTGTAGGTCCTTGCTTTTCACCATCTTGCCAGTCCCTTCTAGCCTGCAAAGTTTCCTTTGAGAAATCCACTTACAGTCTTATGAGAACTGCTTTATAGGTAACTCTCTGTTTTTCTCTTGCTACTTTTAAGATTCTCTCTTTATGTTTAACCTTTGGCATTGTAATTATGATGTGTCTTGCTATAGTCTTCTTTGGGTCCAACTTGTTTGGGACTCTTTGTGCTCCCTGGACTTTGGACTTTACCAAATTAGGGAAGTTTTCTTTCATTACATTTTCAAATAAGTTCTCAATTTCTTCCTGTTCCTTTTCTCCTTCTGGCAGCCCCATGATTTGGGTGTTGGTATATTTGGAGATGTCCCAGAGGCTCCTTATTATATCCTTTCTTTTTTATGTATTTTTTTTCCTTCTTGTTCTTCTGATTGAATGCATTTTTCTTCCTTATGTTCCAAACTGTTGATTTGATTCTGGGCTTCATCACTCTACTGTTGTTTCTGTGTAGATTTTTCTTTATTTCACTTACTGCAACCTTCCTTTCTGCCTGGGTCTTTTTTATGCTGTTGCAGTACCCAATGATTTCTTTGAGCATCCTGATAAACAGTGTTTTGAACTCTATCTGGTAGGCTGGTTATCTCCCTTTCATTTAGTTCTTTCCTGGAGTTTTGTTCTATTCTTTCATTTGGGCCCTCTTTCTTTGTTTCCTCAATTTGGCAGCCTCTCTGTTTCTGTGTAATAGGTAGAGGTGCTTTGACTCCTTGACTCAGTAGCGTGGCCTATTGTAGAACAGGCACCTGTGCATTGTGTGTGGCAAAGCCTTAGGTTATTGCCAGGGTGGGGCAACACATTTCACTGCTAGTGGCTCTGTGTGGGGGAGGGCTCAGAGAGGGGACACTGCCACTGCCTGGCCTCTGGAGATTTCCCAGGAGGAAGCTGTCTCCTGGCATTTGCCCTGTTGTCAGTTACCTCATTTCCTTTCCTTCTCCCTGTATGCCACTTGCACCCTTCCAGGTGTTGCCCTGGTGCTGAATCCCAGAGGGGTTGGGTCTGTGTGAATCCTACATCTATTGTGGGCCCTTTAAGGAATCTCTTGAGAATCCTGAACTTTCCTCCGCTGCCTCAACCCCCACTAGCTTTTACAGCTAGAACTTAATGGGGACTTGTCTTCCCGGTGCTAGAACCCTGGGCTGAGTGGTTTGGTCTGGGGCGGGGACTGCTCACTCTCAAGGTATCCCTCCTGATTTTTATCCATCACATGTGAATGTGGGATAACATTCTGCTGCCTTTCTGTGCCTCTCCGCGTCTCCATTCCTCTTACCTGTCTGGGTGAATGTGGCTTTTTTAAATCCTTGGTTGTTGGACTTCCATACAGCTAGATTTTCTGATGCATCTGGATGATATTTGTTTTGTTGTCTAGTTGTAATTTTTGCTGTAGTTATGTGCAGAGGCAAAGCATGTTTACTTATGCCTCCATCTTGACTAGAAGTCCAAATAGCTGTTTTATAATTTATCTTTGTCTTCAGGTTGTTTTTTATTTGACCATGCTGCTTTTACTCTCCTTAATGCAAAGAGTAGTGTCTGCTGCACTCAGTAAGACCTAATTCTTCTTTTTCTTTTTTTTGTTTTATTGTTTATGCTATTATAGTTGTTCCAATTATTTCCTCCTTTGCCCCCCTCTGCCCAGCCCACACTCCTTTCTGTAGTCAATCTGCACACTGTTGTCTATTTCCATGGGTCCTCCACATATATTCTTTGACTAATCCCTTCACTTTCTTTCAAACAGTCCCCTCTCTCTTCCCTTCTTACCACTGTCAATTTATTCCATGATTCTATGCTCCTTGTTCTATTTTTCTCATTAGTTTATTTTGTTCATTAAACTCCCTTTATAGGTGAGATTATATGGTGTTTGTCTTTCAGTGATTGGCTTATTTCACTTAGCATAATAGATCAGTGGATTAAAAAACTGTAGTGCATTTATGCAATGGAATACTATGCAGCAGGAAAAAAGAAGGAATTCCTACCTTTTACGACAGCATGGATGGAACTGGAGACTATTATGATAAGTTAAGACCTAATTCTGTAACAGAATGCTTGATCAGAGTTCCAGAATATTCTAGATCTAATTATACAAGAGAGTCCTGACAATTACACCTTTTATCATACTTATGTGTGATTGCCGTCCCCTCACTTTCTAACCTAACAGCATATGTTAATGGACAGCCTCTTATCTACCCTCTCTATTACTTTAAAGATGATAGCTGGTAGTAGTTTTATTTTACCTGATTAATAAAAAAAGGAATTTGTAAGGGAACAAGAGAAACAAGTTCAATGAAGGTAATCTGAGCTTAGAAAATAACACTGGAAGCATTTATGGTGCTGATATCATAGAAAGAAATACCAAACAAAAAACAAGAAAAAAATAGATGGTACTTGGAAAAATAAAAGTTCCCTTTGGTAACATGATCCTAGAATAAGGGCTTTTAAGTATGATAAAAAACATCTTAAAAATATTGAAGAATATACATTGAGCAAACTTTAAGATACTCCATGAGATTATCTGTACCATATGAGAAAATGTCCCTTGGGTGGTTCTTCCTAAGTGATCGGAAATTTAGGCCTGTGGGTTTTACTTCTTGGGTATTTATTTTCCTTTAATTTCTCTTAGGTGTCAAAAGATGTTTTATATTTTACAGATGTAATATTTATCAGATGAAAATTCATTAAAGCAATCATACACTGGATTTCACAGGAGAGTGCATCTGTAACTTAAATTAAGGGCATCACTGTGCAGTTGCTATTCCTTTTTGTGATCAAGAGCCTAGAATACGTATTGATTACAGTAGCGAGGATGAGGAGGAGAGCCAGTGCTGCCCTCTTTCTATGCCAACACAGACCCAAAGGGAGTTCAAGAATCTTGCTCCAATTTTCATCTCTTCTTTCCCTCCCTGTGTCTCATGAGAAGAGTAAATGCTTACACTTTTAAAAATGGGAATGGGTCACTCACAACATAATGGAGCCTGGACGTGGATTTTCTGGTGTCATTTCCACTTTTGGTAGGTGACTGGCAGAGGCATGCTTTTCAATTTCACTTGGTAGTGTAGCAATCAAGAAAACAATGAACCAGAACAAAAGACTACACTGAATTAAACTCAAATGATAATATAAGAAGAATTTACTTGGTTAACTGTTATGTGGGGAGAATAAAAAGAAATGAAACTGAGCATTCAGTGGGAAGGTAAAAGAAGGAGCTGTGGCATCAAGTGAAGGTATTTTCTTTTCAAAATACAAGCACAGCTGAAGAGTTAAACTTTATTCAAGGTTCAACCCAGTAGCACTGTGTGGTCATTGCAAAACAATGGCTGCTTGTAGAGCCATGGTATTCAAACTTGGCTGCACACTGGAAACTCCTAAGGAGCTATGAACTCAATGGATGCCTGAGCCCAAGGGAGTCTGACCCACTGGTTTAGGATGCAGTCTAGACTTTCTATATCTCCTCACTTTTGCCTCCACCTTTTTTAAAGCTCTTTTTGGGAACCAGAAAGCTATAGAGCATAGAAGTAATGATTCCCATAATCAAATCTCTTTGCAGACTCAGCTGTCCAGTGGGCTAGCTGCACATGCTAAAACATCAGTGGACTCGAAGCTAGAGCAGCTCTTGTGAGAAAAGGGAATAGAGAAATTTCTGCTTACAAAATTTCCCACTCCCAGAAGCCTACATTTTGATCTTCTCCCTCTGAGAGTAGATGGCAATGACTGGAGTGCAGACACCTTGAAAACATCCTTGCTGAGTCCTCGCAGCAGTTAAAGGTCCATAGGGACACAGCCTTTGTGGTATGTCCAAACCTAATTCCGATTTCAAGCAGAGGCGAGAGACACTTACCTTTGGAGATCAGAATTGCCAGAGTTACAAAATGCAGGTGATTTCTGGCAATACTGCTATAATTCATTGTGTCCTGATTAGCTGGGGAAGGGCAGAATTTCCTGTTTCTTCAGAAATGAGGTAATCACCTTTCCTACCTGTGCAGACCCGGAGGCCCTGGCCATCCTAGTAACATACCTGATATTGTCACGAGGACATTCAGTCCCTCGAGCACATCCATCTGCTGAAATCGCCTCCGATTGATCAGATTATAGACTTTGCCTTGCCCACTTCGGTCCAAAAGCATCAGGCCATTTTCAGTTCCCACCAGGAGGTTTACACCTGCAAATTTAAGAAGCACCTCAAGACTGACTTTATATGGGTTTTAACCTTCTACATCTCAGGTCCCTGTAAAACCTAAGAAATGGTGCCTTGTAAATATAAACTCATGGGCAAGTAGGTACTATAGCTGGGAATGCAGAAGTATTGAAGCTCTGACACAGTAATTAAATCACTGTCTCTTTGATAATGAAATTAGTTTTAATTTATGAAGTGGTAGCAGCATTCACTACATCTAGCCATTTACTACCCAGTATAAAGAGTCCTTCTCCAGAGAAGCCTTAGGCACAGCTGTGACACTACCACAATTTGTTTTTGTTTCTTCCCTGTAATTTCCACCCCTTTCTTGGTTCTCTGAGTTCCAGGCCGAGACTTCCCCAAGGTTCACTCCCATCCCATTCATGCAGTGATTTCTAGCCTATCCATTTTCAGCATACAACAGAGTGTCCCATACCCTCCGGAAGTTAAAAACCTTACTCTTCCTCTCACCACCGCTTAACCTATGTCCTAAGTCTCTGCTCCCTGTTAGGATATGACAAAATAATTCAAGTGAAGGTGTTACTAGCCTGATAATCACAGAAATATTGACTGTAAAGAACTTCTTAGGTATCTAAATCTAGTCCAGCCCACCTTCCATACAGTAATCCCTATTACAAAGCTCTGGCAGGTAAGCGGTCTTGTCTGGATAGCTATAATACTAAACATTAATCCCTGGGCAAACATACAACACACACATATACACTGAGAGGTCCGCTGTGCAGTGTAAACTATTCATGGACAGGTAACTTTCCATTCTTTCTAGCTTGTTGTATGTCTATCTTCTAAGAAGCATTAACATCTGTTCTTTCATCTACGTATTCAATATAAAATATGCCTAGCTTGCTGTTTTCAGTCTCTTCTCCAGAGGACAAAGCCTTACTTCTCTCCATCATACCTTCCATGAAATGGCGTTTGGGCTTCACACTCTTTACCATTAACCTGACATGTTTTTGTCTTTATAAAATTGTGGTGCCCAAACCTGGCCTGGTACTTTAGATGGGTTACAGAGATGGGCCACATCTTTCCTTGATTTGACCATGACATTTGTAGTAACACCAACCAGCACTTTGATAGAATAACATCACACCTACTCTGAGTTTGAGGTTGGTTAAAATCTGCAGATCTTTTTCACAAGAACTACAGGATGACGTCTTGAATTAAAGGCAAGGTTCATCATCTATTGTTCTTTACAAGTTTTATCTTGCTACTACTAGTAGACTTTGGCAATTCACTAAAATATGCCGGGCTAATTTTCCAGCTGTGAAATAGAGGTAATGCCATTACTCTCATTGTGAGATGTTGTAGGGATCACAGAATGTGGGGCACATTCACAGTGCTGGCCACGTTGGTGGTAGCTAGGTCTGTTGCTGGCTTTAGTCCATCACTTATGTAAGATGGTTCTGAATCTCATTCTGTGATCCTGGGAATTAGGGTATCAGTTCTTGCTACTTATAAAATTGCTCTTGATCTCTCCTGCGGCCAAGATAGTCCCAAATCAGGTCTCCGACACCTATGATTCCAGCAGTGCTCTTCTGATGGTAAGATTCAGAGGCTTTAAATGTTTGAGGGCCAGCTCATTACTGAGTGATAGAGAGCACCAACTTACCCCACAGAGCTGCACAAAGTATTTCTGAATTGAATCGTTTCTTGTATTTTCTGATTTCCGGTGTGTCACTATGAGGCCGAATGTTGGTTGGGTTTACGTTTACCACTGAAATCTTTCTTGCTTCATTGAGTTTGGCTTGTTCTTGCCTAAGAAGTTCGCTAGTAAACAGAGCTTTGAGAAAAAGAATCAAAGAAGTCAGCGGCATCTTAAAAAGAAACCAATGGAGTTATGGAGTTATGAAGAAGGGACTTCAAAACACAATGATTTCTTCTTGTTTCAAAGGCAAAGGCAAAGAAACTCTGAAACTACCCATATTTTACATTTTTTTAGTAGCATAAAGACTAAGTCATTCATAGAAGCAGTATTTTATCCATTGGTAAAGCAGGCTTATGGACACCACTTGAGTAATTTAGGAAGTTGATAATCATCTCGCAAAATTAAATATCCCACCCTCATCTCCTGTAATATAGGCAGGAAAGAGTTCCTTTTTGAAATTCCATATTATCAACTGATGAATTGGCCTAAGTTGAATCTGATGATTAGTGAGTTGCAGCAGTCTAGAGAGCAAGATTCTCCTCAAAAGCAGCCAGGTTTTTGCAGTAGGAAGCACACACCTAGAACTCAACACAACTCAACATGCACTTATTAAGTGTCTACTGCATGCACAGCATTGTACCCAGAAACTGCTTTTGAGAAATATGTGCTAAGTTTGGAGATCTCTGATGAACGGCTTTTCCTAGGGCCCCTGGCTACCTTTGGGTTCCTACCAGAAGTGAAATTAAAGAAATTAAAAAGAAGAAGAAATAAAAGAAATTTGTTTTAGGAATTCTACAAAAATAATAATTAAAAATAAAAGTCTTCCCTTTAAGACTACTAAGCAGTAGATGGCTTTACTACTGAACTAATTAACAATTAATTTTTTTATCAGGCGATACCAGAAAGGAAAGCCAAGCTTTGCTAAAACACTGGGGCCATCTAGCTTACCTGTGGCTGATGATTCTTCATCCTCTTCATCTTCATCAGTGGGAGATGTCTGGTATACTCTGGGGTCCACAAAGGGGGTGAAGGATGCTTTAGTGCTGCTCCCCATGCCATACTAATCAATAAGCAGGAAGATTAAGAAGAGCAGATAAATAAACACTGCAGCAACAAATAATGCCAACAATACTTTGTTTGGGCTTTAAAATAATTATAGACTCTTCAGTCTATAAACCAGATGTTTACACTCTGAACCCCTGGTCAAAGTGCGTGCCTCTCTCCCCAGCTTCTCCTGGTTACTCACTAGCCATTGTGCCTTTGCAGGGTTTCACTATCAGACTGTAAGAGTTACAGTGAATAAATTACATTTTGGGCTGCATGTATATCTAGTAAGATGGCTGGTGACAGAGCTTATCTCTCCCTTGAAGTAAAAAACAATCTTGTATTGACAAAATGTTCTTAAGAAAAGCTGACACAGTTGGCAATAAACTAAGTAAGCATGTCCTCACAGCAGCACTTATCCTGAACACACGGGCAACCAAAGACTCTCTCCTGGGGACTTAGGCCCTTCCACACTGGCCTTGTGATGCAGGTGGAGTAGTGTTGGCTGAAGAAGCCTTAAAATCTCTAGTTCAGGAACAATTTCATCCAGGAATTAAAGATTTTTCCTTAGCTTGATAGTTTCCTTAAAAGGATACTTACATTCACATGCCTTATTTGGGAACTTTATGAAAAATACTAGGTTTCCAGGCCATGCACCTTGAGGATTTACTTAAAAAATAAATCTGAAGGACTTGGAAAGCACCATGAAGACATGAAGTCAGAACTAGATTATGGAGCAGTAAACTCAAATATCAGGCTTCATGTCATGAAATTCCATATTTGAATTTTGTAAAAGGAGCTTCAGTATCTATCTCTTCATTTTGTCTGTCCTCTCCATTCCCTCTATTATTTCAAGTTCTTTTTAATATCACAAACGGACCTGTATTCAACATAAGAAGCACCTCTTTTTTTTGGGTAAATATCTTTAGCTACTTTTTTAGTTTTATTTTTAGGTTTTTATTTAAAAATATAACCAATATCCCAAGATCCCTAAACACATAAGAAGAAAACCACAAAGATCCCATCTGATTTCATTCCGGGTTTCCCATCCACCTTGTAAACTCAAGACCACTTCATCCTCTGTAAGGTAGGACTCCCCCTCCCAAATTAAGTACTCTTACGTCCACGCTGTCCTTTGATCTTTAGAAGACATCCATGAATATGCCTCTGTGTTCTTTTTCTTTGGGTGAACAAAGCTTATTTACTCTATAACTTTAGAATCCAAAGCATGTATCACAAGAAATTAGTGTGTGCACATTAAAAACAATAGTGCTCATGCTCTATAAACCCATGTAGGGAGGGCCTAAGTGTGATTTACAGGACTCCTCATGAAATAAGACCAAGTGCTGTGAACTCACCCTATCGGTCAGCTTGGTCAATGATACCTACAAGCACTGCCTAACACATTGTGTTATTGAGGTTTTTTCCTACTTTATCCATCTAGGAAAGATAATATCCCATTTCTCTCTTTCTCATGCAATCTGGAGTTTAGAAAGTATCTATTTAGAATTTGAGAAGGTATCTATTTATTGATTTTTATTTTTCATAAGCCATTTAAGTCAAACTTAGTTTGATTAGTTTAATTAATATAAATATGAACCTCAGCTATTGGCCTTGGAATCTCTATAGGCTGAAGTTCCTACCACTGGTCTGGCAGACAGGAGGTCCCAGTATTGGACCTAGCACTGTTGCACACCAGTTTTGTGCTTTGGGCAGGGCTCTTAATCTCTGTGAACCTCATCTGTAAAATCAGGTATTGGTCCAGATGATACCTGGGAATTTTTCACTGCTCTGCCTCTATGATTTCCTCTAGTTGAAGATATGCATAAGCGCCTATATAGTAGAAACCAACCAAATGGATTTCTGGGAGCTCGGCACAGACTCCTTGAAGAGAGCAGTGTTTCAGAACCCCTGAAGGAGAACAGAGATGTCATGGCTGCTGCCTAGCACCTACTTCAGCCCCGGAGTCCATTTCCTGGGAGTGAGTGGAGACACGTCCTAGACCCTCGGTTGGGGTCCCAGCTGGGGAATGACTCTGCTGCACCAGGTCCGGGAGGTTGATATGGCCTGCGAAGCCATTGCTGTCACTGTGGCCAGATCGCTTCTTCTCTCCAGATGTCTGAGGGGGCATAACATGGGGGCATTAGAGGGGGATGCAAAGGCTACAAGAGTGACATCACCCCTCACACAGCACGGGCAAAGGAGTCTCCAAATCCACCCACTGGAGTGTGGGAAGATTCCATTCATATTTCTATGTTACCTAAGAAAATAAGAAAGAAGTTAAGCTTTGCTAATATTTAGTATATGGATTGACTCTGAGGTGTTACGCTGTCGCAGGAAGGGCAGTCAGGGGTCACACTGAATGTGAGGGTTCATTGTGGGAAGACAGGAATGCTGCCAGTGGAGGGATTGGTTGGGGCCTGCACTTGCAAGCATTTGTGTGAGTATGTGTTCCTCTGCACACATCAGTGGCCAGAATTAGCGGATCATGTTACTAGGTTATAATGACACACACCCACAACACAGATACATGCCCTAAAGTATCGTTGAAAAGAGGCAGTGTGATGAGATAATACTAATAATCCATGCATATGTGTATGCCAGGGACATGCAGGACGATCGCAACTCATAAGGGCTCTTTGGCAGTCACGAAGTTGAAACAACGATTAATCAGATCTGACAGGAATTACCACATACACACAAAAAACCCCCAGCCACCCTCCCCTCCAAAAAACAAAACAAAACAAAGCAAAACCCATGGTGATGATCCAAAGAGTATTTGATAATATGGATTTACGTCTACTACCACTGATGTTGAATTTCTCAAAAGCAACCATGGTACCTTGTGATAGCATCCAGTAAAAAAAAAAAAGAAAGAAAAAAAGAAAAAAAAAAAAAAAGAAGCCATCATGACCAGTAAAGCATTTGAAATACTGTTTATGGTATCCCTTTTTAATGCTCTTTAAAGGTATTTTATAATGTATATGTTAGTGCAGTAGGACAATGTATGATTTGAAAATAAAAACACTGTATTCTGTGGCATGCTCTAACATTTTTACTGATAGAATTGTCTGACCTAACAAATTGTAAATCACTGCTTGGAAGAGCAAAGCCTCCTTCCTAAAATCCCAGGGACAAAATACAGGATTAAAGACAACTCTGCTCCCTAAAAGCCGGTGCCCACCACACTGTAGTCCTGGCTAGTACTGAACTTAGTAGTTTAACGCTCATGTGACCAGCTCACTGAGGGCTCTTAGAGCAGTCCTGATTAAGTAACTATTCCCTTCTTGGCCTTTTCTTTTCATTCATTTACCCAACATTTCTGAGTGCCTGTTAAACGTGAGGCACTTCGCTGAACATGCAGGAATCAGCCAGGAACAAGGCAGATGCATTCCCTGCTTTGATTGGGGCTGGCTGGCAAGGGTTCATGCTGTTTCTGTGACCACCTCACCAGGCTGGCTTCTTCTTCCCAGAACCTGTCCTGTTTTTGCAATTCCAGTTCTGCATCTGCCACTAGCTGTAAGGGAAAGGAGGCACTTTTTTTTTTCAGGGCAAACAGACTCCCAAGTTCCTGAAGGGGTGCATGTAATTGATGTTACCAGGGACCTTGAGAAGTAACTGAAAAGCTTTGGTGACCTGTATATTTTTTGGCAACATGCTTCTGGCCTATAATGTGTCCCAGAGAGAGGCAGTTTCTGGATTCATTTTGCCACAGGGCTCACCTGAATATTACATCTCCTAATGACATTTTGGGGGTTCCACACTAATTTATCTTATTGTCCCTCTCTTATGAGTACTGGACAACTTTTCCATTTTCCTAACTTCTGTTCAAATACTGCAAAGTTATCTAACATTTCCCCCAACTTTCCAAGAGCAAAAATCACACACTATCTCTTCAGAGATCTGCAACCTCTCTTCTATCAGCAGCAGTTGCCTCAAGCTGAAAATGGATGCGGGCACAGTGGTTCTCAGAGACCTGAAGAGGCTCACGAAGGGGAATGGCCCAGACCGGGGGAAGCTTGACGGAACCCAGCAACGACCCCTGAATCATCCCACTTCTGAGTCATTACCCTTTTGTGCATTCAACCAGCACCTTCTTAGAATTAAGTATCTTCTGTGTGCCAGGCTTTCTGCTGGGAATACAAAAATAAGTAAACAATAGCTCTACCCCCAGGACCTTATTAACAGAACCCTTCAAATCTCTATAATTTTCATGCCCTCACCATTTCCACGGGGGTGGGCCCTAAAATGTTCCAACATATGCCTGGGGCCATGCTAAACACTTTATGTGTATATCTTCCCAATAACACCATGGGTAAGCTTCCCATTTTATAGGTGGAAAACTTCAATATAAAAAATTCAATTAACTTGCCTCAACTGACACAGGTTTGTAAGTGGTGGAACCAGGGTTTGAACTGAGGCTGCCTGGTGACAGAGCCCAGACATTCTGGGTGGCTGCTCTACCAGGTAGCTCCACTCTTGGCCGCAGCTGATTGGTGGACCCCTGAGCCGAGGAGGATCAGGTTCCTATTGGAATTGACTATTAGGCCTTAGCAATATCGGTCTCTGCTGGACAGCTGAACTAGGATGTGATGACTATCTTGCAATGGGGGATCCGGGAAATGAGAGCACCTGCATGGGGTCCCAACTGACCCTCTGCCTTTGGTGACCTTCGATGAAATACCCTCTGAATCTTTATTCCCCATCTCTGATACCTATTCTACTTTTTTTTCTTAAGCTTAGTGTTTTTTGGGTTTTTTTTCCCCTATTACTTGTAACCAATGAGGATAAGCCAGTGTTCTGGTTCACTGGAGTGGACAGACCCTGGAGAGATATCAGCTGGTCAGTAAGGAAGGTGCTATGGACAGAGGCCCATGGAGTCCCAGGAGAGGCTTCAAGGAGAAAAGGGAGGCTGAGCCAGACCCACACGGGGCCGCTAGGTGAAGTAGGCAGAGGTGGGAAAGGGAGAAGAGCTCTTCCAGCAGATGGGCCCTATGGACAAAGAGGCAGATGAGAGGTGTGGTGTATTCTAGAATTAGAGTAAAGAAAGGCGTGGTGGGGCCATAGGACAGCAAAAGTAGAAGCACAGGGGCAGGGGAGTGCACTAGAAGGGCTAATTTGTGCATCTGACAAGATTATGGGAAGGGGAGACAGCACGTTCCTATAGAACCATCTAGTCCACTCCTATAAGAATGAAGAATTGAGTAAGTACTCCTTGATGCTCATTTAGGGACTACACTAATAGCACCTTATAAACTAAGTTCCATTATAATATGTTTTTATTTTATTTTCTTATTTATTGCCAGGGACACACTTTAATTCGCATTTCTTTTTTAAATATATGAGGTCTGTCTGGAAAAAGCCCAACCACTGTTAATAGAATGAGAATGGTTTGTGTGACATCAATATAACCTGGCTGCCAAGGAGAGTAGACTGGAATGTGCATCCATGAACAATGACGACTTAACTGTACTAGTTAGTGGGGACAGTACACGCTGTTCAGTGAGCATGTGATCATCACATTCAAAATAGCTGAACAAATAAAACAAGGAATCTGCATCAAATTTTGCATTAAGTTTGAATATTCCTCTGTGGAAACTATTTGGATGATTCAGAAGGCTGCAGCTGTGGGCCACTGGTAATTGGTAGCTTCATCCCAACAACATGGCTGCTCAAACATCATGTCTTGTACAGAGTTTTTTTGTGAAACATCAAATTGCCCAGGTGACTCAGCCCCACTACAGCCCAGGTTTGGCGCCCTGCGACTTTTGGCTTTTCCCAAAACTAAAATCACCTTTGAAGGGGAAGAGATTTCAGACCATCAATGAGATTCAGGACAATATAACAGGGCAGCTGATGGTGACTGGGAGAATTGTGTGAGGTCCCAAGGTGCCTACTTTGGAGGGGACTGAGGAGTCACTGTCCTGTGTACAACGTTTCTTGTACCTTGTATCTTCTTCAATAAATGTCTCTATTTTTCATAGTACATGGCTGCAGACTTTCTGGACAGATGTTGTATGTTCTTTTAATGGACTTCAATTCAAGGTTTGCTATTTTAAAAGTCCACACTTGGGAAAGGTAGAATTTAAAAACTGAGAGGATAAAGAGCCCTGGCTGAGCAGCTCAGTTGGTTAGAGCGTCATCCTGAGACACCAAGGTTGTGGGTTTGATCTCTAGCCAGGGCACACACAAGAACCAACCAATGAATGCGTAAGTAAGTGGAACAACAAATCAATGTCTTTCTCTCCCTCTCTCTCTCACCTCTTCTTCCTCTATCTAAAATCAATAAATAAAAAGTAAAATAATTTGAGAAGATAAAAAGATCTGGGAGCCCCCAACAGATAAAATTCATATGACATAACCGATGAATCCTATTTTCAAAGTGATTCATTGTGGTCATAGAATATTGGACTGCTTTATACAACTTGCAGCTATTTGGATGTGGCTAACAACTGAACTCAGAATGTGGCTACAATATCTTATCTACTTCAAGGTATTGATTCTATTGTAAAGATTCAAGCAAATATTAAACCACATTAGAAATCAGGATCCTTTTATTTGGAGTCAGGGAGTAACTCACTCCAGAACATTCTCCCTCATGTTTTCCCAGGTGGCAAGTCATTGTAATAGAAACCCTCCATACATGTGCTGAAATTATCCATTCACCGCTCTGGGTGATTTATATACCAGCACCATCTAATGTCAACTTCAGCAGCCAGGTTCACTTTTCATTTCAGGCTTCCGTGAGAGGACTCTTTAAAGTCTACTTAAAAGATTCAGCAAGGCCATAAAATGAAATTCTAACAAGTTGCTTTGTGAACTACTCTTCCAGTTTTAGCCTTACTGCCAATTATTCCTTTACTCAACAGCTTTATTCATCTCAAAACCAGAGTTCCTTTCTTTCTTATAAAAGTGAGATGACCCTGACTTTTTGGAGAGTAAAGCCTGCTATTAGGGTTTCCCAGTCTGCTCCAGCTGAGGAGGGAGAGTGACACACAATAAATATTTATGTGTCAGAGAAAGGAGCGGGGAGTAATAACACATAAAAGGAGAGCTCAACTCTATGGAGAGAGTGGAATAAAATAAAATAGTTAGCATGTATTGAATGTTTACATGTCTTAACTCATTTAATCCTCCCAATCATGTTAGGAGTTGTATACTATTATTTATGAAAATTTACAGATGATAAAACAGATGCAGGGAGAGGTCAAGTAACTTTTGCCTAATGTCATCAAGCCATTACTTTCCTTCCAAGTAAAGACCTGCTGTCAAACTTACATGATGATGATAATGTGAAAAAGAAGAAAAGCAGGATTATAATTTGTCAAGGCCCTCCTGGTTAGCACTATACAAAGGGGAGATTCTGCATGGTAGTCGGGGAGGTGAAAGGAAACATGGCGGCCCCCCTTCTAGATGAAATGATGCTTCCAGAGTTAAAAAAATCATTCCATGTGCTAAGGTGCATACTTTGTTCTTTCACCAATATAGCTTAATAGTCTTTTAAATGTTGATTTAACTAGGTAAGATGTTCTTGGAACCACTGAGCATTTTCTACATAAAATCTAGAAAGATAAAACTATGAGTGGAGGAGGCATAACAAGGCCATGGATGCTATTCAGAGCAAAACATCTGTCTGGGTTTTCCAGATTTATATCTTCAGGCTCAAATTCTACATTCCAATTTGCATAGCTCTTACTAAGGAATTTGGACTAATGGAATTAAGTCACACTACAAAAGCTTAGAAGGATACAGGAAAGAAGGCAGTGGACAATTAAAATCACTCAACCATTTAGAAACATGAGCCTCTTAGCCCCCATACTTAAAATACATGCCGTAAGCATTCTCTGAAAGCTCTAATATAAAAACCAATTAAGAAATGCATTTCCCCTACACAGTTCTTATACCAACTTACCTCTCTTATCATCAAGGTTCCTTCTCTTGAAATACTGCCGCTGAACGTGTCTGCATGAGAGGTCTCCAGGCCGTGTGTGCCGACCATTCCCACGTTGTACTGCTCTGTGCCCCCGGGAGCGCCTGTTGGTCTGAGATGGAAAAGGACAATATTCACGATCAAGCATGTTTAGGGAATATTGTTTCCTGTTCATGTTCATTTTTTTTATTATGGTAAAATATACCTAACATAACATTCACCATTTTAATCATTTTTAAGTATCCAGTCCACTGGCCTTCAGTACATTCCATATTCATTGTTAATGTCACACTGATGCCTGAACTGGTGGCCCACTTTGTCAGCATCCTCTCTCAACCCGATTTCCAACCAGCAGGCAGAGTGAGGGACCGGGCTGATCTCCCAGCCTTCCCTGTCCCTTCTGTGACCAGCAGGCACCCTGGCCTGCATTTTTGCACATGCAGTGCCCTCTGCCTGGAAACCTTTCTCCCACGCCTGCTCTTGGTGGTTTGCTCTCATGCATCTGATTTCATCTCAAATGATACTTAGCCTGAGAAGCCTTTTCTCACTACCTATCTTTGTCTTATCCCACCAGACCCTCTTCTTTCTCCACCCTTTTCCCATAATACTTATCACAATTGGTAATTTTTTATCTCTTTGACTCTCTTTTAATGTTCTCCTTGTCTCTCATTATGACATATACTCATGAGGAAAGAGTTCTTGTCCCTTTGCTCATCCCTGTACATCCAGCGCAGAGTTCAGCACAGAGTAGAAGTGCAAATATCAACTGAAAAGTGGGTTCTACACTAGTTCTAGAGAGGTAATCTCCATTAAGGGTATCTGTCAATGAGGCTGTTTAACCCAAACAGTGTTCAGTACTTTTTAAAGCTCTGAAATCACCCAACACTGAGGCATGTTTGTTTCTAGTGTGTGTCTTGCTTTCATATCTAGGATAAAATGGGGAAGGTGACAGGAGCTCGGCCTCGGCCCTGGGCGTGGAGGCTGGTGTTTTCTGTGTGTCCTGTGGCCCAGACCACAGCGCCAGGGGAGCCAGCACCAGGCGGGCGGCGCAGCTCACCCGCAGGGCAGGTTTCTGCTTCCAGCGCTGTGCTGATTGTTAACCGACGTCCTCAGCTGCCTCTCTTTTAAAGTGGGTTTTTTAAAAATAGGAAAGGTATCAACATTTGTTTCTCTCATTAGGTGTGCTAACCACATCTTTTACCATTTTTGTTCTTTTAATTGTTTCTTGAACATTTGAGAAACATCCCTGGTTTTTTGGATCCTATCAAAGTCCAAGCACTTGATGAAATATAGTCAGTCCAAGAAGCAAGAAACACTCCAGATTTATGACATCTCTGGGACAGAGACGACATCTGTCAAGGATTCTTATCCAAAACAGAAAGGCAGAAAGATGCGTGCAGACCAAAATAAAATGTATAGCAAGACACATATTTCAAATTGACTAAATTAAAGCAGTAAATTGAATGATTTAAATATAGGTTGGAACTGGTAAGTTTGGGAAGAAGTTCCAAAGAAGCATTTTCAATATTTCATTTCCAGAAAGCACTATTAATAGCATTCCAGAGGCATGGGAGAAGAAATTGCTGCAATGAATTCCTGACATATTTGCTTGATCGGAAAATCAGACTAGTTCTCAAAACTAGGATTTCTTCACTCATGTATTCAAACTTTTGTGTTGTATTTTTTTAGCTGCCTTACATTCTTATTTGGGACAAGATGGTGTGAAACAAAGAAATCAGTAAATGAAGTAAAGATTTATCAAGAGCCAAAGCCTCCTAGGACGGGAGCCACTGTTCTCCATCTGTCAGGCATTCTTGGCCACCGTCGGGGACTAGGTTGTTAGTGGCCACCTCTGTATAACCGAGTTCTCCTTCACTATTAAAGAGTCCCATGGGAGTTCGAAGAGCAAAGGTATTTTGCCTCCACTTTTTTCTTATCCTGATGATGTTGTGATTCTAGCCAAACATTTGAATCAGAAATATATCAATATGGATGAATTTTCAAAAAAAGTATTTTTCTAAAGCTAATTCCATGAAGACAATTCCTTGATTAATTTTCCACATATTTCAGTAAAACTCTTCCTCAATATCGGCATTTTCATGGTTATTTTACTAAAGTTATCACCACTGGTTCTGATTATTTTCTGTAATTTTATAATAAAGACCTGATATACCAATTCATTTTTTTGATCCATGTAATCCATCAAAGGCTTTTGTGGTCACTACTTCTACCAAGTCCAATTTTTCTGGATCAGTTTTAAAGGTGTACATTTTATTAAGACTTGTCCATTTTTAATCAATAGCAAGTTTTACAGTGTACAGTGTGAGCCACTGCCAGTTTCACCTCTTGCTGAATATATTTACTGAGATTATATTTTCCTGGGTCAATTTTTATATCAATTTCATGAGCCAGAACTACTTCATCTATGATAAATTTTTATGGTGAGCAGTTTGGGCTGTTTTGAGGTTTTTTAAAAAAAAATGTTATTTCTACTAGTAATACTCCTTGTAAATTGAATAAAAGATAATCTGTATTTCTTCCTTTGTCAATTGTCCCTCTATGTTTCTTTTTTAAAGGGCAAAATGAAGGCCACAGTTCACACTTCAGGGATTGCAGAACATTTTTAAGTTATGGAAGAGGACTTCTTGTTGTACCTGTTATTGATCACTCCCCTCTGTCCTTCTTACTCTCCTGGCTTTTGAGAGACAAACTTTCCCTGCATGTCCTTTAACCTCTCTGTCCCTGTATGATTTTTATGGCTTAGAGCTCAGCACTATGACATGTCAATCTTTATCAGCTCCTTGGAAGCTCATTTGTTCACTTACTCATTCATTAACACACTTATTAAAAGTTTATTGTGTAATACACATTGTGTTAGATGCTAGAAAAAATATTTTAAAAGTAAACATAATTCTCAGTTTCTAGAGGATTATAATCTTATGGAGGTTCAGAGACTAATGAGGTACAGAAAGGGATGGATAAAAGGCAAAATAATTATTTGGTGATATGGTATTTCTAATTTAGTGACAAAGCTAAACAGAAGAGCAGAGGAACAATGTTAATTGAAAACTATTTCTTCTTATTCTCCTCCTTCCTGTGTTTTCACAATCCCTCTCTCCATACTGGCTTTTTCTTCTGACCAAAAAACATTATAAGGTATGTCCTCTCTCTCATTTCATTAAAACGTTTTCCTTGACCTTAACCTGCATTTACTATTCACACTTAAATTTCTCTATATTTTTCTTAGAAAGAAACAATGTAAATTTTTAAATAAAAACAATCCCATAGCATTTATTGTCATCTGGTAATAACATAAGGATAATCATATGGATAAGCAATACAAATAAATGTTTAAGAACTATGCTCTCAACAAAGAACACCTAAAAAACCAAACTGTATTGCTTCTCCACAATTTCTCACTTCATTAGTCATTTCTAGTTGGGGACACTTTGGAGCAGAGCAATATTATCTCCTTTTAGTACGATCTGACCAAACTGTTTTCTTGACTTTGTTTTAGAACGAATCTCTTCTGCATCATCCAGTAGGAGGTCCACGTACTCATCAAAACCAATGACACAGCCCTGCAGCCTCATATTCACTTGCTCATAAAACCACTCCTGAATCCAAGATCTATTTTGCAAGTATTTGAGAAGATGAGATTGATGAGCTTCACAATCAGCTTTTGCACTTTATGGCCCTGGCCAAGGAGATGTCATGGTGGAAGCTGACAGAGACCACATTGAGCTGTGCGCTGCCTCCAAAAGCTACTTCTACAATAAAGAACCAGAAGTAGAATCCTAAATTTCTTTCTTTTCTTAAAGTTCTTCTTGCAGACTATGATTCAGTCCTCAAACTGTTGCTTCCTATACTTGACTTCAAGCACCTCAAGGAAACTCCGTTAAGTCATTTCTTAGCTCACAAATTCAATGATTACTTTCTGATTCTCATGGTGTTTGGCCTTTTGCCTGTGTCTGTGATTACTAATCACCCCACTCCATCCTTCTCTCTCTTCTGGCTCTTGAGAGACTTTTCTCCTTTTCTCTGGTTTTCCTTTTATTCTTCATTCCCTGTTTCCTCATGAGCTCTCCTTAAATGCTACTGGTACCCAGGATTCTGCCTCCTCCTATATAACCTTTGGGAATACTCTTGTCGACAACCATTTATAACCATCACCAGTGTGGGGAATAATCCTAAATTAATGTATCTAATATTGTTACTCAGAGACTCATTTATTCAGTTTCCTGTTGCATATTTCCACCCAGGTATCCACAGGTTTCTCCAACTCCATATAGGTGTGTAGTGGGCTATACCATCTGGGTTTGTGTAAGTGCACTGTATGAAGTCTACATTCAATGAAATTGCCTAATGATGCACCTTCCCATGATTAAGCAGTGTGTGAGTATATATAGAAAGACTTATAGCTATGTGCATGCACATGGGTTAATGTGCACACATATATATCCTTGCTCTGTCAGTTGAGAGGGCCTAAAATAAATGATACTCCACTAGCAATGAGCACACCAAGTGCCCAAATCTTGGTTTCTAATATCATTTTTAATAAAAGAAATCAGGACTCCTTGGAGAAATGGTTGAAAGTTGGATTGGAAGAGGAAATATAGAAGATGAACCTGGAAGATCTTATAGTGCCTGAAACTAAGAAAGGGCCTGACGGGGGGTATCAGTCAATGGTACACAAGAGCTTCCAATGGTCAAAGTGGGAACCATTTGAGCCACAAAATAAAGAAAGTTTGAATCATAATCCAAAGTCTAAAATAAATATTCGTGAGTTTATACTGATGTAAATGATTGAATAAATGAATAAATGTACAGGAAAAGACCAATCTCCTGTCCAGAAGAATTCCAAAAATATTATGATAGATATTTCTCCCTAAAAGAAGGGGAGCATAACTGCTCCTTATGTGCAGCTATGCACGGTGGCTTCCTTCCAAAGAGTACAGTATGGAAAGAAGGGGAAAAGTCACTTCACAGTGGAGAAACCTGAAAATCACTATCTCAGCCTTATGATCAAGGTCAACACCAACAGTCATAAGTCATGTTGACAGTATACACCCTTGACATGATGCGATAAAAATGACATGTTATCTGTTACCTTCCTTCCCTAAAGCCTTACTCTAATCATGAGAATGACATCAGACTAATTCCAATAGAGGGGGATTCGATAATATACCTAATCAGTACTCCTCAAAACTGTCAAGTTCATGACTAACAAGGGAAGCCTGAGAAACCGTCATAGCCAAGAGCAGTCTAAGGAGATATGGCAACTAAATATCTAAGGGAAATGTGGTAGCATGGGATTCTGGAACAGAAAAAGGTAATTAGGTGAAAAAGTAAAGAAGCCTACACATGGACTTTAGTTATTGTATCAATATTGGTTCATTAATTGTAATATATATGCAATAGTAATACCATAGGGAAAACTGTGTGCAGGTGGTAGGAGGAGTAACATGGGAACTCTCTGCACTATCTGCTCAATTATTCTATAAATCTGAACTTTCTAAAAAAGCTTATTAATAATAAAAGACTTTTTAAAAGGCAAATTATTGATTAAAATTATTAAGGCTAAAACAACTGTAACATTTTATAGTTAAATAATCCTTCGTTGCAAAATTACTTTTGTGATAGAGTCTGGGTAGGAAACACTGATTGTCAAATTCCTATAAAGACTGTAAAAAACAAAACACCTCCACTGATTAGAAGTAAACTATAGGAAATTTACTGTAATTAGGCCACAGGTTTGGAACAATAATTTCCTATAATTAGATTTGTCAAAGTGTTCCTGCAAGTATTGATTTAATGCAATTCAGTACACATTTACTGAACACCTGCTATATGAAAGGCCCTTGGTTTGGCACTGGGTAGTAAATATAAAAACTGAAGAAAACAGATTCTGAAACTAAAGAGGTTAGCATCCAGAAGAGCATTAAAACATAACACAAATATTCCAATAAGGCAGGATATATGTGAGAATGGGGGACAAAGAGGGAGGTCATCTCAAGACAAGAAACAACACTGAGAGCATGCCAGGCATTTGTAAGGACTGATGAGGTTAGTTCAGCTGGAGGATATGCTTGGATGATTATGTGCCCCAGGGATGGAAGTTGTAGGGCAGGAGGGATATAGCATGGCCTGAGCCCCACTACCACACACTAACAGGACCAGAACTGAAACAATGGATGTGGGGGCAGAGGGTACAGCAGGCCTGGGGAGCAAGACCATTGCCCTGGTAGGCAGTGGGGTCGGGACCATGGCTGTCTAGTGGGAATAGAAAGGAGGAAGCACAAAGGTAAGTGGCTTTCATTGTCCAGAACGCATTTTGTGAGGCTGTACAAAATTCTGTGACTATGGTAGCAACAGATATCCCTTCTGATTCGGACCGTGCCTCACATGTGCTGTTTTGATATAAAAGGATGCCTCTTTGACTTGCTTGATATGATGCGGGTCAACTTACATGCCTTTCCTTCTGTCCTCCTATTTTCTAAAGCATTTAATGTTGCCGGATTATAAAAATAACACATGCTCATCATAAAATTGTCCGATATATATAAAATAAAAAGCCCTCAGAGTTGCATCATCCAGAGGTAATCACTATTATCATTTTGCTCTATTTTCCCACCAATTCATTTTTCTATGCAAGAGTCCCTGTGTAATAGTACAATCAATTAGTTAGGGAATATTATCTTAGTTACATGTACTCTTATAGGTTATACCTTATGTTATAAACAAGAAACCAACATTGGCCATAGAAAAAGGTGTTGCTCTGCACATCAGGATCTGTAGCTGTTTGTCTGAATGGCTGGGCTCTATTTCTGAGAAGCTATTTTGTAAGCACTTCATGGTAGTGACCTATATTGCAATATATTTTTATTTTTTGCTCTAAAAATATATAGTAGAAAATATAAAGGTTTACCTTAACAACAGAAAATGAAAGTGATAAGAATGTAAATAAGAAGCATTCTAATTCTAAAATACCCTATTCCTAAAGAAATAATTGTTTTATAATGAATTTTTTAATATGTGAACTTAGGCATACAACTATCATGCTATATAGCAGAACAGACTGTATATATTTTAAATTCACAAAAATACATATTTTTATCAAATTGGAATATACACACATTTGTATCCTGCTTTTTCTCTGAGTATGTCTCATTTATAATTAAATATTGAAAACGTTCTTTAATGAACTATCATTTCAATCTGCCTAAAATATATCAATTCTTCAAGAGCCATGTTAGGTTTTGCCTCCATTCTAAGCATCAAGGGTAGTCCATATATTATTTCTCAGGAATAGTAATAGATCCCCTGAATTGCTTTACCAGTCTCTAATCTGTTTTCTTTCCACATTGTCTTGCTAAAATGATTTCTCTCCAGCATAATACTCATTGTGTCACTCCCCAGCTCAGGACACCTTCAATGGTTCCTCAATGGCTATGTCATCAAGTGTATGCTTCTTGCTCTAGCCTCATTACTCTAGACTTCCCCCCCGACACACCCCACAATCAAGCCAAGCTCAACCTTCTGGGCCTTTACTTCAACCTCCCCCTGACCCCGCCCCGAATCTAATATTCCTTCATGTTCTTTTCTACCTTGATGACAGTTATACGTGTATATGTCCTTCCTCTGGACTAGGCTCTAAACCTCTTGAAGCTTAGGCTTGCAATTTCAGTCTAGCAAAATTAAATGTAAACCAAAGTCATTGAAAAACAACTCCATTCCAGATGCCATGAGAGGTGTTAAGAGTAGAGAGATAAGTAAAGCGCCGTCCTCATCCTCAGGAATCTCACAGCCCAGAGAGGGAGACAACAGGTAATAAATATCCCTATTCAAGGCACCATAGGAAACTACAGTGGCAGCGTAGAGCGGGCTCGACTTGCGTGGGCTCGGCTGTGTGCTGGTGATCTCTAAAGGGACAGGAGAGTCCCAGACAGCAGAGTGGAACTGCACCATGGTCTAGTCAGGCAATTTCAGAGAGGTGGATGTTTCTGTGGTAGGGGAAGAGATGGATTTACCTTTACAGGTAGGAGGCTGACACTGCTAACAGGCTTGCAAAATTTGGCTTAAAGACTAAATGCGATTTAACATCCTTTCCAAGGCTGTCTTTGGTTGTTCTACCAAGTATTTCTTTTACTCTGGAATTTTCCTTGTGTAATTTTGTCTCTTCCCAACTACAACATAAACTTTTGGAAGGCAGAACTCAGGTGTGCACTTCTTGAATGCCGCAGTGTGCTCAGTATGGTGTCTAATACATAGCAAAGGTTTAATCAGTCCTTCAAATTCATTATCTACCCTCATACTGATAGTTGTATACTCAGTGCTTAAACTAAATTCAAAACATCTGGTAGAGGAATTAACCAATGCTGAGTTAGGACAAAAATTGAGAGGACCAGTATATTTTACAGAAATGTTCTGGATTAGTGATTTTGTTTCTTACAACAATTTTATTGGCTGTTAAAAAAGCAATTTAATGAAACTTGTTTCATAATGTCATATTTTAGCATATTTATGGTTGTTAATAACTGGGTAGTCAACAATAAAATAACAAGAATGGATTTTCAGCTATGGAAATTGGATCTGCCTCTCAGAATTGCTTGTATGAAATGATCATTAATCAATGGATGACATTCCCTGCGGACTGACCAGCCCTGTGACTCCAGTCCCTGCTGGAGAGGACAGTAATATATGGTCTGAAACGGCATCTTCTCTACAGGAAGTGAATGGAAGTGATGACTAATATTAGTAGCTCCACCAAAGAAATGGAGGTGAATGAGAAGTGAAGCTGGAAACCTTAGCACCACTCTATCAAAGTTACAGCAAACCAGAGCAACAGCTCCTGTGTTTCTTCGGGGGAGGAATGAGAAATGTGCATCAATGGGATTGCATGAACATGCTTGTTTGAATTGGGGAAGTAAATAGGGAAGAGGAGGGATTCTTTCAAGGATCTAGTCTAATGGGAAAAAGAAAAAGTGAGCTTCCCCTTCACTTAGAAAAGAAAAAGGGTATAAATACTAGGGGAATTATAGGTAGGTATAAATATAGATATATATCCAAAAAGAAGCCTGCAAGGACACAGAACATATATGGCAAAGTCACAGACCACACACAAAAAAGGATCACATAAAAGAGACAATAAAGAAGATGAAATAGATTCACTAGGGGTAGATTTAAATCAAACACTCAGAAATCTCCTACAGGATTATTTGACTCCTGATTCTTTTTTCGGGGGATGCTACCCCACACTGCAACATGCATTCCTCCTTATTTAGCAGTGATAGTAGTGATGGACTATGTCTCACATTGCCAATTTTAAACCTGAGATGTCATTCCCATCATTCTACTCCTTCAATTCTAGGGGACAGGCATGTGTCAAAGAGTCTGCCTGTCAATGTGATTTGCCCTGGAAATGACAAGAACCAAGAAAGCAATACCAAAGAGACAATCCAGCAACCGTGCCCAGATAAAGCACATGCAATCCTAGACACACTGTGTAGTCTAAGCAACTTGTGTCGACAGAGAGAGAGTCATAGAACTATATGTGCTCTAATAAAAATTTGAATGCCAAAAGTCCATTGATCCTGCCAGAGGCTCACAAACAACCCTCTAAGCTGTCCTCTTACATCAGTCTGGGTATGTCACTGACAGCCACTGTCCCATCATGGGTCTCGCTCTCTCCATCTTCCTCCTCTTCATCACTACTTTCCGACTCCTCGCTGGAGGAGGAGTAATCAGTCACTTTTTTCAGTGGGCGGTTTGTTTCTTCAATCCGGAGTTCTCGTAATTCTTTGGCTAATGCCGTCAGATCCTACAAAAGAAAAGTTTGTTCAGCATATGTGAATTGTAGATACAACCAAAGCGACATCTTTCAGCAAGTCAGTGCTCCAGCGTAAGCAACAAGAAAAAAGCTCTATATCGAATTGTTACAAACATAGTTACTGCATGGAACCAAGGAAACAATGTTTGTAGCGTGTAGAAACTAGAAAAGATGAAATAAATTTAAACTTTGTTCAAAACCAATTGCTAGACTGAGACTGTTCAGTTCTGAATACACATGTGTATATATGTGTATGTGCATTGTGTGTGTACACATATATACAAACATTGGGTTCCCGTTTTATTTTGGGAAGGTGAAGTTGGTCACCCTCAGGTTAATGGGAAAATGCATGGCATTACAAATTGTTCCCAGTATGGCGGGACTCCTGCCCAAGCCACAGTCATGGCTTTTCCCCTGTTATGACTGCTACCATACCAAAATCTAGCATCAGTCACAGAACAGAGCAATTCCCAAGATTCCAGCTACAACAATGGCTCATTTGGTGTGTCATCATTCCCTGGAGAGCAGGGGCATCACATAATGGCCCACCCAACCCAAAGCCCAGTGCCACTGAAATTTATAGCCACAGAGCTGAGTTAATCAAGAGAAACAAAGAAAGAAACAAAAAAAGTTCTCTTCCAGAATGATAGGTGTTTCATTTACTTTTGGTTTAAATTTCAGTCACCTGGCAAAAAACCCTGGCGAGGACTATTGAAATGAATGTGCAAACACCAAAAGGAAGAGATAATTTTTCAGTTTTCCATGAGTATGATGAAACCTTTAGCCTGATGGATGTGATGATGTGGTCTTTAATCACCAGGCATACTGCAGGCAGTGTGCTGAGTATCTGACTACCTTTTATGTGACATGCTTTCCGAGCAATGCAGAGGGAAGCATTTTCTGCAAAAGCACGGCCGCTCTAATTTGCATGGGTTAAACTGCCCATGGCACACAGCATGCAAATGAGGAAAAAGCAATTTCACATCAGTCTTACCATTTCTCCCTATATTAGTGACCCATGTGGGAATCAGAACATTCAGCGAAAGACAGGGGATTAGGGAGAAAGAAACTCATTGAAAGATACTAAATCCCAGTTTTCTAATGGCCATATTCTCTCTTTATTTCAACCCAGAAATGGATTTGTCTAATTCACCTGATGTAGGATTATAGCAATATAAGTGATCTAAATGACATTTGATAATCCATCCTAACTGGTTAGGAAAAAATGTGATTAATGCACATAATGAAATTAAAATTAAAATTTTATTTTGAGAAGCCAACAGATTGTCATGTTTTACTGTCACCTGTCAGGCATTCCTATACTGGTTAAAACTAGGAAAGGCAGTACTTCAGGTACTTGATTTGGTCTAGAATTTAGGAAGTTCAAGGTGTTAAGTGAAGTAGTCATTTCTTTCTAATTTCATGGAAATGAAAGGGAAAACAATAATGACTTTTAAATTTGTTCTGAAGTCACTTGAAGTCCTTGGAAAAGAAAAGCTTTTGAAAATTCAGCTTGTGCATTTTTCACCCAGACATGCTCTCTGGGAGTTTATACACACGCACAGGTGGGTGCATGCACAGGTGGCCTCGGTCTCAGGGAGTATCTTTGCCCCATTAATGAAAATGAAAATAGAATTGATACATATTAAAAAGACCCAAAGGTGTTTAAATATAATGTATATCATTAAAGAAGGGAAAAATTACCGCATGGAATTTTATGCAAATTTATTTCTGGTTTCTTGTCAATGGGCCAAAATAGGAAAAACTAATATTCAAATTTCTGCTTTTTATTTCTTATTTCCTCTTGACAATTGTTTATCTTTATCAAACTGAGAACAAAGTGAAGGGTATGCTAAACTTGAGCACACTGGGAAAATAGAGCCTCAATCTTTGTTAAGGCTATGAATGAAAGAGGATATTATAATTCCCCAAACCACTAAAATAATAATAAGTTGGATAAATTTATTTTGTATTTTTCTTTGATATGTTAGAATCATGTTAAGTCTCATCAAATAATATAAGTAGTATTTACAATGTTACTGGTCATTAAAATTACATTTTATTGTGATTTAAAGAGAGAATATGGTTTAAAATAGTTTATTTCTAATGTTAATAATTCTGAGTAAAATATAATAATATTAGCTATGATTTATTCAAATTAATAATACATTTTCCCCATGGGTTAGTTTTCCTATCTCTGACATCCGAAAATAAGACAAAGGAAATTTAAAAAAATAATTAGAGATATTTAGTTGGTCTGAAGCCCATTGATTTAAAGAAACCCTCACTTGTTAAAATGATCTAAACTTTTCCAAACACTGTATTTAGGAACACTTTAAAGTTCTGACTGACTTTATAATATTGCTTTTAATTACATTTTTTGTTTCTGCATTATTAAAGAGCTATCTTTACTGAAACATTAAAAATAACTGTAAATTCCTTTCAAGCTTAATTGGTAACAGCTTGGAGGGTGAAACATAGATGAAAATCCCTAGGTAACAAAAATAAGTAATTCAAAAGTAATAACCCCAGTCAAAAAAAAAAAAAGTACTCTTCCATTGCCAATAGTCTATGTATTTAGTTGAAGTTTTGTTTCTTATTGAGCCACTCTGGAAATATGTATGACAGCAAAGTTATGGGAAACAGGCATGATCTAACAGTGATACCACTGGGTTCAGATCCATTTTCACACATTTTATTTTCTGACAATACCAATTTTCTCCATATAACGAGTTTTTGTGGTAATTTATTGCTTGACTGTCTCAAGCCTGGAGCTAAAAAGTATTAAAACAGGGAAAAAGTGCTATTTAGCATAAAAATAACTGAGAGTGCATAACTATAAAGGAAATATGGCAAAATGGTAAGATTTTTTGACTACAGGGTAAATGTGAAGATAGTTAAGAGGCCCTTATGCAACAGTTTCTTTGATGTAACATTTTTTAGAATCAACTTGATAGAATTTTTCATTTGAAAAGACTTATTTAATCTGACAATTATGAATATCTTACCTAAAAGGATGCTCTTTTAAGAAATAATATAGTTTATTCAAATTTTAGTTCCATTTTTTTATCTATTAATGTGATAAAGATTCTAAGGCTGGTCTTTTCCTTACGTATTAAATTTTTATTTTCCTTCTTAGGAAATCTAAAGATACAGCCTTGGGGAAGTTACTTAACTTCACTATGCTCATCTAGTTACTACTAAAGTCTCCAAACTGGATGTGCTCTGGAATTTTTCAGATTCCTAAATACTAATGAAAAAATAGTGGTAAAGCCAGTGTTTGCTTGTGCTGTGATCCTCAAGCCATATATTTCATTGTGCTAAACTATAAAGAGCATTCATTTTCAAAGGCTGTGTGAAATGGTCACAGACTATACTGCACAATCTCATATTCCATTGAAAAGTAATGCCAAATTAATAGGCACTCCCCCAGATGGCTTTTTATGAAAAATCAAACCATTAATTTAGCAACAAATTTTTGAAAGAGTTTTAAGACTTTTAATTTCAATCCTGGGTTATCCAAAAGTCAATTCAGTCACTGCAGAGAGAAGCCTTATCAAAATCGAAATGGAGGTGGGAGGCAGGTTTAAATCATGGTTTCTCAACTGCGGCACTGTTGACACCGGAGGCTGGGTAACGCCCTAGTGAGGGTTGTTCTCCTGTGCACTGTGGGACGTTTAGTAGCATCTCTTACTCTACACACAACATGCCAATAGCTCTCTTCCCATATCCATGTTGTGACTATCAAAACTGCCTCCAGACTTAGTCAAATGTCACCTAAGTGGAAGGAAGGAAGGGAAGGAATTGTCCCTGATTGAGAATCAGAGTTAGGCAGAACCAAGTAATTCTGTATGTTAGTGATTTGGATAGTGATACTCAGGGGGTAGGGTTATAAGAATTACCTGCAAGATTTTTGTTAACCACACATGGCCGTAGAGATTTTGGGAAACAGTTCCCCTCACTACCCCATTACTTATAGTTACTTATATCTCTGCTGTTCCCTCTCATCTCTGTGCAGTGTGCTAGAGTATACCAAAATGAAGCCGTTTTTAAAATCCTTAAATGTCCTGGGTTAATTAGATGAAGTCCCTGAGAAACTTTTTCCTCATGACAGCCACCTCTCTGGCAATTTCTGGACTTGTGAGATTTCCCTTGAGTGGTGCACATACACACCATTTTATTGGGTTCTCTTTCTTCAATTCTTTGAGAGAAAACTGATAAAAACTGTGATAATCTCTGTCCTTGTCACTATTATGAGGGAAAGGAGCAAGGCTGTGGCACAGAACAATTACATACGTGCCCTTTTTCCATTCTATAAGTGCCATCCACACACTGCCGACAGGTAGGGTCTCATTCTTTTATAAGCAGTTATCCTTTAGCCATGAAAATTACTTTCTAAATCACCCTGAGTGGTGAGGCAGTCAGAATGCTGAAAAAGTGAAGCTTTTGGGTAAAGATCCAATGCATAGAAGCATGCTTCTCCCACCTGCCAAAACAGCCTGTGCCTCTGGCCTGAACCTTAATATGAGGACAACTCTTGGCTTTACGCAGTGTTTCACACTTCAGAAAATGCTCTCACACACACGATCTGGAGTGATTTTAAACAATCTTGTGAGCGAGGCAACATGTGTTTTTGTCCTCATTATACAGATGAGAAATCTGTGGCCCAGAGAGATTATAGGCTGGTCCCAGCTCGTTATTTACTGGGGGAGCCAGGATTGGAAGGCGGCTTGTTGACCCCAGAACCAGTGCTTGTTTTCATATTATTTCACAAAAACGATGCTCAGCAGAACTACAGCCTTAAAGCCACAATGGGAGTCTTCAGATTCCATGCAGTTAGGCCTCTTTGCAAGGCCTGTCTCTTAAAAACAACAACAACAACAACAAAAACTCCACTATGTTGTATTCATGCAGGTCTGACAAACAGCAGTAAGACAGTCATTCTTCTTTGCAAGCTACTTAAGATCGACAAAGCCATATATTTTTTTAATGGAAAAATGCTCCATGAATAAGGAAATAAAGTCACTTAGCTCGCCAGTACTCATTAACTAAAGTTGATGTTGCTGCTGATGCCGTAGTTAATGTCCCGCAAAATTAATCTAACAATACCCAGTAACTGCTTGTTCACAAATCACACTCTATAAACTCAGAGTGCCCCCGGATGATGTCTCTTTTCTTTGTTAGTAAAACCACCATCCTCTAGCAAGCCTGGCGAGCACAGGTTAAAAGCTTGGGTTTGCTGTTGGGAGATACTAGAACGAGAAACTCTGCCAATAACAAAGCACTAATGCTTATTGTTAGCCAGACTGACACATTGGAAAAGTGACATTTTGACTTAGAGGAAGGTCTCTGGAACTTTATACTGGTGTCTGAGGGTCTTAGACTAGATGCTATTGAAGGGGGTCTCTTCCCAACAGATCACTCCAAATGAGTGAACTTTAAATCTGCGACACAGCTGGCCACTTTTCTGAATGTCAGCATCAGAAAATCAGTCTTTTATTTACATTTTGTGAACACATGACCAAGGAAAGGTAATACTAACCTCATCTATAGCTTTCTTATAGCTCTGACATAAGAAGAATCCAATCCAGAAGGATCCACAGGAAAGAAAAAAGCCAGAAGAAAGGCAGTTGGTTAGATACAAAATGGGAACTGTTAGTACACAACCAACAAGTGCAAAAGGGCAAAGAGAACCTCATCCCAGAAAGGTGCAAACTCCCTTCATTATTACTCTCATTATACTCCTTTACTTTAAAATGTCATAAACAGAGTGAACCAAAAAGACGTCACATTTATTTCATAGAAAATGTTCTCAGAAAACTTAAGTGGATAGTAACTCTTCCCAAAACACTTTCTAACTTTCAAATTTCAGCCTCCGTGCTCTCCTTTCTGTCTCTAAGGTCACTCGGGCTCTGTCGAGCCCTAGCAATGCAGCCGGAAGTCTTGGTCCCAGGCCCCCTGTCGGACTGTGCTTATCAGCTTTTGGTCCTGAAAATTCAGTCCTAGAGGCATGAAAAGCGGCTGCAGAAAATTGTAATATTAATTTATATGGAAAATCATATGGGGAAAGGGAGGAATTCAGAAGAGAAACCCACAGAAAGTGCCCCAGTCTCATTAACTACTAATTTCAACATATTTTTGCCAAAGCGGCAGAGTAAAAATTATGGAATGATATGAGCTATTTGCTAATGATCACCAAATCCCTAAAGGCAGATAAGAAATCCAAGATCAGTTCTTTCTTCATCAGGTATGACTTCTTTCCGGATGCTTCCTTCTTATTAATCACAACAATTTTTGTTTCATACTCATGAGTGTATCCTGGACTACTTTATCCTGTGGGTTCTCTGGTAAATGAAACATTTAAAACTCTTGGAGGGAAAAGCACTCACAGCCGGTCGACTAGGTCGGGTTATGTCCCTGGATTCCTCTGGTTTCGGCTTGGCAGGCTCGTGGGGAAGCACAGGTGATCCTTCCGACTTGCTGTTGGCTACAGGAAAAAAGCAGAGGGCCAAGAAAGATAATGATCACCAGAAAGTGCCGGCTGAAGTTCAGGAGTTCTGTGGGGAGTCGTCCTTCATGATCAGTCAGCTGACCCAATCACTTACGTACATCCTCACGTAAATCCATGAAAAAACAGTAAGTGTATAGGCAAACTACATCAACCAAACACATTTAGGCTCATAACCTGGAAGTCACGAAATTAAGTAAATTTATATTTGAATCAAGGCAACAACAGTATCCATAGTTGTGGGCTGCGTGCCACTGATATGAGAAGGATATATACACGGACAGCCACAGGCCGGTCCATATCTCAGGTCAGAGACTGGGGCATCACATGTCAGATGTCAACCTTTTCAAAATGGACCTACAGTGACTTTATTTAAAACTGTAAAAAGATTTAGAAGGTAAATTATGATTGTGTCTAGTGAAAAGGCTAAGAAAAGTGTGTTAATATTTACCAAACTGCACTTTAAAAAGTCTTGGTCTTCATTACTTGGAGGCAAAATTTCTTTTGAAGAAGGTTATTCAGCAAGAGTAAATTTAGATTAGCTAGAAACAATGTGTTGTCGTGGATAATTAGCTGGGCATATGTAAGTTTTTCACAAGCTTCTTCATTAATGAAAACTGAACAATGATGGATGACTTGAATTAAATGATCAGTGGCTAATTTTTACCTCTCTAATGGGAATAACCAGAAGAGTTAAATATATTTTTAAGTCAAAATTTTATTTCTTCTCAGGTGTATGTGTATTCTACATTGGTCTTTATTGAATTTCACTTTGAAAAATAACTAGTATTGTGAGCTATGTTCAGAATACAAAAAAAGGGACTAATGGCACAGTGGGAAGAGGGTATTTAGGGGTAGAGGAAACTCTCCCCATGGAAATGGAAATTCAGTGACTGGTAAGTGAATATTACCAATATTCTATTATCTCTCTGGAGAACATTGGCGTCTATGATTAGAAAGAATTTAGTCCACAGCAGAATGTCACATAATTGGAAATGGTGGCCCACTCTTCTAAGGATGTTGAGGATGAGAGCAGTTAAGCATATCTTCAGAATCACACAGAGGTGGCCATGCTGGGAGCACGTATCACAGAAGGCAGGAAGTAGCCTGATTCCCCACCCACGGCTCTCCTCACCAGGCCATGTTGTCAGGGAAGGTTAGGGGAAGCTTTACCTCGCACTCTGGTCCGTTCACTGGACCCTGCTTGTGATCCAGGCTGAGAGCCGCCTTGGGAGCTGGGCTGGGAGCTTGGGGTGCTGGAGCTGGAGGAACTGCCACTGCTGGTCCTCTGCAAGGGACTCTCCAAGACGGGCTCGGTTCTCCGGAGGTCAGGGTTGCTGCAAGGATGGCAGAGCACAATACTACACTCTCAAGACCTTGCCCTTGGTAGACATAAGCATAGTCCAGCCAGTCCTATCTCATTGCCAAGGGATAAAGAGAATGCTCATGTGACCTTGAACTAAAGTGGTCAATGGAAATCATAGTCATGCCATTCTCTGTGGAGCTCCTAGCCAGGTTACTATCTGGATGGCATGAACTCTTGATCCAACTTTTGGGTCATCACACTTTAAGTGTTGATATTAGATCTGAAATGGAGAATCTTCAAAGGAGGCTTTCTTTTAAACCATTTATCTTGTGCTCATTGTAGAAAAACTTGAAAAATATTCAAAGATAAAAATAAGGAAGCAACACATGCAATCTCTGAACTAGGAGATATTCAATTATATTTTACTGTTTGGTATATCATCTTTTTTCTTTTGTGTATATGGAAGCATAGTGTATATTCAGTTTCACAGCTTGCTATTTTTCTGCTTAACACTGCATTGTGAGTAGCTTTGTATGCTTCTAAAAACAATATGAGATATCATCTCACACCCATCAGAATGGCTATCATCTGTAAGTCAACACAGAAGTGGGGGGTGAAGATGTGGAGAAAGGGGAACCCTTTTGCACTGCTGGTGGGAATGCACCTTGGTGCAGTCACTGTGGAAAGCAGTATGGGGACACCTCAAAAAGTTAAAAATGGATCTGCCTTTTGACCCAGCACTCCTGCTTCTGAGAATATATCCAAAGGAACCCAAAACACTAATTTGAAAAAACATAAGCACCCCAATGTTCACTGCAGTGTTATTTATAATTGCCAAGACACAGAAGCAGACCAAGTGTCCATCAGTAGAAGTGTGGATAAAGCAACTATGGGACATTTGCATGATGGAATATACATGGCTGTACAAAAGAAGAGAATTTTTACCCTTTGTGACAGTATGGATGGACCTGGAGAACATTATACTAAGTGAAATAAGCCAGGCAGAGAAAGACAAATGTCATATGATTTCACTCATATGTGGAATCTATTGAACAAACTGAACTAACATGCAAAATAGAGACAGACTCATAGATAGAGAGCAGGATGGCAGCTCTGGGGTGGCGTGGGGGTGAGGCGGTGGAGGGATCGGACAAAAAGGACAACAGGCTCAAGACATGGACAACAGTGTGGTGATTGTGGGGAGAAAAGAGGTACAAGGGGACTAAACAATAATGAAAAAAATACAATTAAAAAACAGCTGATAGTAGTCCAGTAAACACATTAATTAGTTTAACCATTCCTCTATTGTTAGACATTAACATGCTTCCAAGACACTGCTATGACACATAACACTAAAATAGCTATCTACATGCATAAAAATATCCAATCACATTTGCCTTTGCTGGAATTGCAATTCTTGGGTGAAAAGGCATGAACTGGCGGTATGTGTGTGCATGTTTGTATGTCAATATACACAGCTATTACCAGTTTTCACTGCAGTGTATGGGATAGTCCATCTTGCTGAATTTTCACCACATGCTTTATTATGAGCAGTTTGGCAATTTGTAAAAAATTTTGAATCTTGTTGTTTTAATGCAATTTAAAAAACTACTACTGAGATACATTAATTTTTACTCACATTTATTTGCTATTTATAATTCCTCTTCAGCGAATTGACTAATCAAATTCTTTGCTTGTATAGCCAGTGGTGTATCTGCATTTTTTAAAAATTTCTTGGAGGAAGCCTTTATATACTTTGGCTATTATCAAAGGGAGGTGTGTTTTCAAATAATTATTATAAAGTGCTAATTCAAGAATAAATTAGTTTGTTGGTGGCCCTATTTTTTAATAAGATCTTTTTGTATTATTTGTCTTCATATTGTTCCTGCTCCCCAAATTGTAGTACTTATTCACTCGCTCTGTTGGTTTTTGCCAGGCACTGGGTCAGGCATTTAAGATACGATAGTGAACAAGACACAGTGATGCCCTCTGCCAGCTTGGCCTGGCACACAGAGACACCTGCATCCACATGTTGCCTGCAGTGAGCACAGGGAACGGAGCAGGGCCTCCTGGGCCACCTTCGGTGGCCATGGAAGCAATACCAGAAGAGGAGACATCTCAGCAGTGGTGGTGGCAGGCAAGCACTGAGGTTTTTAGGACTTCGTGATAAAAATAAGCAGCATTCTCAAGGTTTCTACAAAGCTCCTCCTTTGTAGTTTATAACTCACAGACCTTTCCATTTTTTTCTTAACATAATGCTGGGCATAGATAATACAATGACCTGTGACTCAAAGCTCAAATCTACTGCCATCTCACTGCTAAAAGGAACCATGTCACATTGGCCCCTTTCCTGTTTCCAATGTCCTAAGTTCTGCAAACAATATTTCCATCTCTGCTAATAGTGCAGATTTTAATGGAGTGAGATATCATGTTAAAATGCAACTTCATGCTCATGCTCTCATTTTGCTCTGCGCATTTCAAGAGTTTATCAAGTGTGTACCGGGAACTCTGTCCCATGTTGTGTGTCAGATGTTTCACATGTAAGTATGAAAATAATATGGGCCCCTCCTGTGCCACACCTGCAGATGAGTCTACTAAAAACCTGGCCACGAAATGGCATCTTTATAGCAGCAACTAAACCAAATAGTATCTTCTGAAAGCAAAAGAATCTTGCTTTGTGGTAACGTATCTGCCAAAAAATACTTTGAGTTATAAAAATTCTTAAATATGGGATTATTAGAAAACATGGCCGGTGGCCCTGGAAAACATTATATGTAGAAACAAATGTCCTCATAATTTATTAATTTTGATCATATGAATGTGAAATTTATGACAAATTTATGTTTTAAGTTATTATAGTGAAGGGATTGCTAAGTTGACTTAACAGTAAAGTTGACTACAGATGTGATTGTTGGTAAACTTCACGACAACTTTAAAAATTCTTAATATTTTTATGGCATTGCTTTGTATAGTAACTATTTTTGTGAAAACTGTTAGACTCTAACTGACTGAAAATAGGTTTGAATCCATACCAGAAATACCCTTGGTTTGGAGAATACCTAAAAGTCCTACATGCATAATACTTCTGAAATATCCTATTTCAATTTTTTCATTTTTTATAGAAAAGTAGTTCCATCTTCTTTAATTTCCAAATAATAAATCCTTTCCATTGTCTTCTTTTATTAAATAGCAGTGATCAGGAGGTATTTATGTATTATTAATAAAGTACAAAATACTTTTTTCCTAAAAATTGTTTTGCTAACCAACTGCATTGCAGATTAAAGGCGATGGGCATACTAAGGCTTCTAGGTAGTAACTTTTATCCTGTGGAATGGTAATGTAGTCTTCTTTGTATTAAAAAAAATCCATTGAGAGAAGTGTGGCTGTAAACTCTGAGTTTTCCCCCTGGTGGCTGTGATATAGTAGTAGGAGCTAGCCATCAGCTTTCATGTAGCACTCCTTTGATAATTTAACCAAAACCTTTTTATAAGCACCTACTTTGTGAGACTCATTGGACCACTATGCGGGGAGCAGAGGTCACAGGGCAGACGGTCAAGTTACAACACAATCCTAGACATGAGTATGTGCCGTTGAAATAACAGAACAAGGCAAAACTCTGTATGCTGTGTGTGAAAGTCTTTAAATATTGTTGGAGTTTGAGAACAGTCCCGCTGTGCAGCCTAGAGCAGGCAAAGTGGTGTCAGGAAGGAGCCAGGACTTGACTGGAAGGGCGAGCAGGAAGGCTGGGGGAACAGCCTGAGCAGAGACACAGGGGCTGGGGTTTTCCCAGAGCTTATTGGTGGAGAGGGGACACCAGCCTGGTGAAACACCAGAGTGTGCATTAGGCAATGCGGAAGAGTGGGTCATCCGAAGAAATGGGCGGCTTATGCAGCAATGGCCTGTAAAGCCAGGCAGAGAACATGGGTCTCTCAGGGTAGGCTTATAAATGGCTAGGACAGAGGCAGGCGGACCGGGTAGGATGCTGCTGTCACATCTGACGATAAGGCCTGAGCCAGGGCTGTCCTAGTGCAAAAGAGGGACACAGATATTAGCTGAACCAGCTGGGATGAGCATGTGTCTCAGAAAGGACTCAGAGCTGTTTTCTCCGTGAGACTAATTGGTTCCCATGGGCATTAAGTCCCTGACCTGGGCCTCATTAGCACAAGCCCTCCTCTCTGGACTGAGCCTGCTCGCGTGCTGATCTCAACAGTGTCGCTATTTTTGCTGCTGAAGACTGAAAGAAGCATTTCATTTCTACGTAACCACACACACAGAAATAGGAAAAAACTTTAAAAAGACTTTTCTATCTTATTTTTTTTGTGAAGTATGAGTATTTTGAAAAAAAAAAGGTCATACTGTTCATATTTTTCTCTTCCTTATTATGTAGCACTATACGGTCTGGCCATAGAGGGGATCAGTTTCAGAAGAATTCCCTGAAATAACAGATTTCTCTTGTTCACATATGAATTGAGCTTACGCAGATCCAAATGTGTAAAAACTTGAAAACATTCACATAGCTTTCTTTAAATGCTAACTTTTAGTTCTGACTTTTGCCGTCCCATAGACAATGCTGCTTTGTCTATAAAATATGCGGTAAAATGAAAAAATGTGGCAATTGTTCCATTTACTTGAATCATATAAAAAGTCAAAACATAAAATTAGGATTACAAAGTGGGCCAAGTCTATAATTAACTGGCTGACTGCCAAAATTCACTTTACTTTGTTCTTTGAGGACACAGCCAATGAGGACAAAGGAGTCGTAAGATGGCAGGTTTGGGATAGGAGAGAGAATTATTTTTTGAAATTAAGCATTTAGTTTTTGGTTTTTGACTGGGAAGGTTTCAGGTTTAATTTAAATCTTTCCATATTCAGAATGTACTTGTTTAATCAAATTTTAATTTTCTTTAAGAGAACACATGAGTCAAAGTTAAATATTAAAGTGCCTGGAATTTTTTAAAGCAGCATTTAAAAAAGTGAGCAAATCAAATCCTGATTTAGAGTTATCACCTTGACAACATAAGGCATTTGGGAGTCCACAGAGCATTTGGGAGCTGCCCTTTGAACCTGCAGCCTGAGCAAGGCCCAGCTGCACGTACTCAAGAAGGAAGGGCAGGGGTCGTGGTGGCACTGATTTCGCACAGTCTTCAGCCGTGTAGGAAGGGAACAGTTAAAAGTACTTGATGATACTAGTTCCAGCTAGTGTAGGGAAATGGTAGGGGTATAAACAGGTCCCACGGGACAACAACCTTTAAAAGGTACTGAATGAATATTGCACGATGAAGATCAATAACCCTAAGGTTCAGATGAGCTGTTAACAGACTCACAAAATTACTTAGTGAGCAACATGGAGGCCAAATGGTGCCCCGTCGGCCAACAGAACATGACCCCTTTTCTCTTGGGAAAACGAGGCAGCCGTGACAGCTGCACTCACTACTAACAGATTAGCGCGGCGTGCTGCTTAAGAGTGAGGACTTTGGTGCAAAACTACCAGGTTTCAAATGTTGGCTCTATCACTTACTCATTTCGTCACCTTGGGTAATTTATTTGTGTTCATCTCAGTTTCTGCATCTATAAAATGGAGTTGACTAACTACTTCAAAGAGTTGCCATATGGTTTAAATTAGTTAACATCTGTAATGCACGCTGACATTGAACAGTACTCTGCACACATAGGTGTTCCAGAGTGTTTCATGAATAAAGAAATAAATTTTAAGTCGCCTCAAGCCAAGCAGAAGGCAGGGATCCACAGAGGTGGCCCAAAGACATTTTCTTGACCAACTGACACCAGCGCAGCTGTACCTCTTCCACACTGTATCTATTTAAAAATGCATTTTCTATAGGGCTCTTTTGATTTGCTGTGACATGTGCAGACAGTGGAAGAGTGACGTAATGGGCAGTTTTTTTTTTCTGGGAGGGGAAAGGCTACTTGAAAACAGTAAAGTTTTGATTTTTCCTCATGTTACAAGTACATGCTTGTATATGCCCTTTTTAACTCGAGAGTCTTCTATACAGGACACTAAGTAGTTTACTGATTAAAACGTATTGTTTCCCAAATGATTAAATATCACTCCTGCAGCTACTATATAAGGTCTTGCACCTAGGAACTGGAGTTCATTAGTTGTGAATTCAGGAAGCGAAAACCGAACTTATCTATCAGGCTCTGACTCTTTTCCTTCACTGGTTTAACATAAAAGTGCTTTATTTCTCAATCATGTTACAATAATCACAGGCGGAACTGCTCATTTTGGCTCTCCTCCAAGTGGTGATTTGGAGACTCAAGAAATAGAATTTGGCCCCTAATAATACTTGTAGCTTCAAAGAGCAGCAGGTGTATCCTCTGACCCATGGGCACCAGAGTCAGGCAGCCTTGGTTGAGTCTCTTGGTCCCAAGGTAACATACTGCCTTGCGCGTAGTGGGTCCTTAATATACATTGGTTGAATTTAGCAAATGAAATAAAAATACCAAAATATTCTGAGCCTGTCCCTTATTACATGTGTAATCTTTCTTGGGATCCATTCTAAATGTGCTAGTTTTCTAGTTTCCCTTGAGAGTCAGAAAAAGGCTGGGAAGGCAAGAAGGAATATTGACCAACTGCAAAAAGGGTAGCTTAGAAGCATAAAGGATGAATTATTTAAAAGCTGCCCTTTTTTATAGCTTTACGGATGGGCAGCTGTCTGACAAATAGTACAAAAAGCACTCTGAAGACCTCATGCAGACCGTCATAACATAGGAGGGTCTCTGTATTACAGTAATGGCTCCAGTGACCACATCCTCCAGTGTCCATGCCCTTTGCCCACTGACTCAGGGCTCGACCATGTGACCTGTGCAGGCCGATGAGACATCAGCGTAGACAATGCAAGCAGTCTCGAAATGCACTTGTGTGCCGGGGCTTTCCTTCTTGGAAAGAGATGTGCAAACAGTAAAGAGGCCCAGCAAGAAAGACCACGTGGAGGTGCAGCTGACCCAGCAGATCAGTGCAGCTGTGCGAGTGAGCTCAAGTGAGACCAACAGAACTGCTTAGCAAACTCATAGAATCATGAGAAATAATAAATTGTTATTATTTCAGGCCACTAAGTTTTAGGGTGCTTTGTTATGCAGCAAAGAGGAATGAAAGCTATCTCTATCACAATAAACCAAATCCCCAAGCTTTTAAAAGTGCAGTTGCAAAGTCTGACTCAGATCTTAAATGTGGTCCCTTGTAGACATGTGATAGCTAGAAACAGGTGTGTTTGTAGCATGGTTTCATGTGGCAAAGATGGGGACTCTCCATCCTCCCTGTCCTCCGTGATCCCTCTGACTTTCAGTAGGTAAATGATTATTATCTCTTAGCTCACTTCGTCCCTACCTCCTCTGTAAGCAGAAAAATGTTAGCTGTCTCACAAAGTCTGCATTCTTTGCGCAAAATACAATATTTAAGTGGTTTTGAGGGAAAAGTGTGTGTTTTCCAAGCCACTGACTAACAAACGTCAACCATCTTAGGCCCTGACATCATTAAAATAACACTTCAGGGGGAACAAAGGGCTGCTTTTAATTTGACTACATAATAATAGTTCTCTTTCTTTTTGGTTGATAGAAGGAAAAAGACTGAAAGTTGAAACGATGCTTGATTTAAAGCAACGAAAATTCTAAGCAACTGATTCAGTGAACAGAGCCTCAGGGCAGAGTTCAAAGGGGAAGCAGCAGTGATAAAGGGGGCTTCTAAGCGCTGAAGAGGGCAACTGAGAAAGCCCGGGCTGGCCCTCTGGTCAGGGCACAGCTCAGGCACCCTCAGCGCTGCTTTTAGCAACACCAGCTCAGCGTGAGTCGGACAAGTCCCTGGACAAAAATGGCTCATTCAGAGCTTCCTGCAATTGGTACTCCACTGAGAATGGGTTGACTTCTCTGCCCTAAAGGGATTCATGTTCTCCGTACAGTTTCCTCTTATTTATGGACTGACCCTTTCTTAAGGCTTTTCAAGTGAAGTGGAAAATGAGAGCTTTATGATCAAAAGCATTCCGTGTTTTAAAGATATATACGAATAATCATCTAGTCTCTCTTCCTTACTAGCAAGAGAGAGTCCTCTCTTATCATGAACACAATGAAGAAGGATAAAACAGCCTGTCCAAGCTCATTCTATTTATAGTCTCAGCAGAGGCCATTTGCTATTTCAGTGGGTTCTAAAAAGGGGGGATATTCATCATGAAAAATCTGAGGGAAGCTGAGGAACTATAGCAGCCAACAGCATCTGCTACCACATGAAATCTGCTCAGATACTGTGAAGATGCTGTTTACTTTCCAGCTTCTCTTGAGACCTTTGCACCCACTAGTAGGTGGATGCAACTTCCTGACTGCAGGACTACACATCATGGATGGGAAATTCTCAGAGAGCACGCAGTACCAGTGGAAGCATAACTATTTCCATGACCCTCCATAATGCCAAAGAGGGGATTTCTTCATGACAGCGGATCCTACTGCAATTTGCCATGTTTAGGGAAGCTCTGCAGTTGGTCACTACTGCATTTCTTTGCCAATTACTTTCCTACGTCTCAGAGGTTCCCAGAGCATACTGCTTGACCTGATGTTAAAAATCACCGCAAACCAGGCCATTTTGTTCTCTTGATCCTATAAAATGGTCTCTGAAGCGATGGACTGGGATACTACAACCAGATTTACCACTTTACTCTCCAATTTTTAAAACTGTCCCAGAAGGCACCCCTGATTGGCTTCTGGGTTGCCTCATTCATTCATTTATCCACTGGTGCATTCATTCATTCATGCATTCATGAGCCCCCACCGTACACTGATTTCTATGAAAGGCTGCTAAAAAAAAAATAAAAGGCCTGTGCTCTGGCCTGCCAAGGCTTACAGTCCAGGTGGCCAGTCAATACGCCTCTGATGCGAAAAAGGAACACAAACATTTTTTAGGACAGCAATAATGACAACGGTGGGCGGGGGCCCTCCCCCCCCCCCCCGAACACCTCTGCCTTTTACCTTGCTCTGATGGGTTGAGATCCGAGTCTGGGTCCCAGAGCACTACCATTTCCAGGAGAGTTCTTTCTGGCTAACGCTGGGGATATAGAAGTTGTTCTTTGAGGCACCTGAAATAAAAGCAGAATTCAGGAACATCTTCCATAAAACAGGTTCCAGGAGCTACGGCCTGGAAAGCAGCCCACTCCTTCCGAAAGATTTGTCAGGAGTTACAGCAATTCTCAGAAACAGGGCAGAAACATCTTTCCTTTTTCAAAGAACAATTTAACTCCCTAAATAAAATCAAACAAAAGCCATTGAGGCATATTCAGCAACCATTAAGGAGAAGGGTCCTGAATTTTAAAAACAAATTTAAAAACAGATCAAGGTAATTTATTTTCATTCATTGAGTTCCTTCTTTTGTGTAAGAGTGGTGGATACCAGACATTTTTTTAGGGTACCATAAACTCACCTGATCACTGGAAATTATATCAAATGGGATCCATAATTCAAGTTTCATGTTTAGCTCACATCACAACTGACAGATAGATAAGGATATTATGAAATCTGGTGAGAAACTAGGGTATCAGGCTAGCATTTGCGAGATAACCCACATGTCAGTGAGCTCAGAGAAACCACTGCAATAGGTTTGCATGTGTCCACTTCCTCATCAACTTGCAATTATTAATTTAAAACCAACTACAGGACACTGTGATATGAAAGGCTACTCTGCAAACATAACATAAAATAGGCTTAATACTGAAAATACCGGAAGGGTCTTCAAAACACTGAGTACCAATTGGACTGTGAGGTACTCTAGGAAAATTAACTTTAGTTAATCTGGCAAGGGCCTAAGGCAAAATTCAAGTATACCTTCTCTTATGAAACATTTTTTTTACAGATTTTATTTATTTATTTTTAGAGAAGGGAAAGGAGGGAGAAAGAGAGGAAGAGAAACATCAATGTGTGGTTGCCTCTTGTGTGCCCCCAGTTGGGGACCTGGCCTGCAACTCAGGCATGTGCCCTGAATGGGAATCGAACCAGCCACCCTTTGGTTCACAGCCTGGTGCCGACTCCACTGAACCACACCAGCCAGGGCATTATGAAACATTTTTTAATGAAATCAAATATGGTAAGTGTGTTAAAGGAGTCCAACATGAGGGGAGAGTCGGAGGAAAATTTAACTTATGGAAGTGACTAGAAATGAAAATGTAGATGTCCCATGACAGCTAAGAGGGTTAAACATTCGTCAGGTGCTTCAGATTTTCTTCCTTTTTTGGGGGGGGGAGAGTCTCTTTAAAGTGTTTTTGCATTTTTGTCCTAGATATTTTTAAAATGTGCTTTGTTTTAATTTATCAATATAGTGATATTAACATTAATATAAATTTTGTTAGTTATTAGAATGTATTTTAATACAAAGACTTAGAAAGATGTGAAGCAAAATGATCAAATCAGTGCTCCTACCTGCTCAAATTTAATACTACTACTGATTTTCCTGTATCATTTTGTAAATTTAAATAGTTGTGGAGAAGAAAGAGTGTAACGAATGATTAAAACCTGCAATCTTTGTATTGCTCTAAATTGTTCTCCCAGAGCTACCCATGTGTGTCTGCACATTTTTAGAGAGGGGACCAATCGCCTCTGCTCTCCATTCCCTGGCTCTTGTGTTGGTTTGCTCCTCTGCCCACCCTGTTTTCCATATTAAAGCTTCTTCCCGAAATAACCTTTTCTGATTCTGATGGCATCCTGCTTCCAAAGAGGAGAATGCGGACAAACAGCTATCATTAGCTCCTTTCATTTTCAAAATAATGGAAACCCCATATAATATCCTTTTGAGAGGAAGATGAGGGAAAATATTTGAAATCATGTGGTCTTATCTATTTTTATTATTGTGTTATTTATTTTTTTCTGGAATCAACAATGGCACTGATCACTAGAAATTATGGACTAGCTCATTTGTCACCGCCCCTATGCTGAGTTCAGGAGAAAGGGAAATCCTAAATCAGGAAGAATCTGATGTAAAAAATTTCTCCACTATTTTGAAAGACTTCCAGGGTGTCTGCAGTAAGATGCATGGGCACATTTCAGGATATTTTTTGGAACGAGCACAAACTTTTGTAGAAAAAAACAAAACAAAAGAAACCAAACTCAGGATTGTTCTGTCCAATGGGGGGGTAACTGGTCATTTTACCCTACAGTTTTCTCCTCAGTAATGAATTAAAGTTGGAATTAAATTATGACCTGGCCTAGAAAGAGCTTTCCTTATATGGGGCTAATTAAAATATTCTGGGAGCAATACTATTCTCTGACCACCTGAAATCCGGTTTCACTTTGTATTGTTAAAGATAGGAATCAATAAATTTTCTCCTTTTTATCTGAAAGTTTTTAATTTGTCTAGATGTATAATAGATTCAGTCACCAATAAAAATATCTATTGTTCTTTTTCTTAAAATGGATAGTAAAAAAATAGTTTGGAATATTTAAGATTGAGAGTTCTAATCCTGGATATAAGCTATGCGCTTCCAAGTATTTTGATCAACCTGAGCCTCAGTTTCTTTGGGGAAAACTGAGGTCAGAAATGATAAAAGATTATACAAATCAGAGCTTGAGAATGAGGAGGGGCCAAAACAGACATGACAAGGGACAGTGCTTTGGCAGGATGTCCATTATTACAAAAGGTCTGGAATAGGGATAATAATAATAATGATCATCATCAATAATGATGATGATGAAGATGACAGTAAGAACACCCCAGCAATGTTACCTTTGGTGGAATGTCTTCTTCCTGTCGTAACCAAGAACTTCTGTCAAACTTCTCAATGCGAGTGGGGAGAGGAGGGTTTTCTGAGGTGGGATCCGAGTTCTGGCGCGGCATCTCAACGCGGTGAGAGGTCACGTTCAGAGCCTCCTGGAACCCAGAGAGGCCCTTGGTGGGCTGCTCGTGTACTGACTGGGAGGCGGTCAAGGCAGGTCCCTGGGATTTTACAGCTACCAGATGTGGGATCTAAGCATCAAACCAACATCAGAGCAGGGTTATTAAAAGAAAAAAACAGACAAACTAGTGCCTCACCCAGTGGAAGAGAAAATAAACTTTTAGGGCACCAGAATTGGAGTATGTAAAGCCTGTCTACAGCATACCTTGAATAGCTCTTCAAAATTTTCCATTCAGGGCTATGTGTAGGGCTGAACCAGAGTTCTGGGCTGCAAGTTAAGTGCTTTACTTGCTAAGAAGTCAGTGAAATAAGCGTGATAATAGTAATATTAACAACTTTTAGTGAACATTTATTGACCAGCAGTACATTTATAAGTACTTCTCTTCTAATTAGAAATGTCATTCTTTAAAATCTTTGACCTTGACTTAGAGTGCTACTGTGCTGTAAAACAAGAATTGCTCTGGGCATCTTACTTCTTATGAACTCAGTAAACCCATCATGAGATTGACACAATTATTTTCCCCATTTTACACATGAGAATAGAGGGTGCAGGGAGGTTAAGTAATATCTGAGACGTCACAGCTAAAACATGTCAAAACCTGGACTGGAACCCACACATATCCCCAGAGTACACTTACCTAACTGCTATGCTATCCTGCTTTGTCTTCAACTGGCTTTTACCACCTATGGTACTATGTTCCTCTTAACTGCAAGACATTTTTTTAGAATTCTAAGTCTCACAATTTGGCATGTGGTGATATTTTTCATGCAGGAAAGATATGCAGTCTTTTGGTGGAAATCTGTCTCTTTAAGACAAATTATGAAAATTTAGACTTCAGCCCTGGCTGGGTGGCTCAGTTGGTTGCAGCATCATCCCATACACTGAAAGGGTACGGGTTGGATTCCTGGTCAGGGCACATACCTAGGCTGTGGGTTTGATCCCCAGTCCGAGCACCTATGGGAGGCAACCCATGGTGTTTCTCTTTCTCTTTCTCTCCCTCCCTTCCTTCCCCTGCCCCCAAAGATCAATAATCATGTTCTCAGGTGAGGATTAGAGGAAAAAAAATCTAGATTTCAGAGAGCACTTCACCATTAGCATAGCTCACACTTCACTGTCAATGCCATGTAAGCTTGTCTCCTCCTCCATTGAGAGGATAAGCTCCCCGGAGAGACGAGCCACGTCTGACACTCTATCTCTGAACCTAGCGTTCTGCCTGGCATTTGGTAGTGTTCAATAAATCTTGGCTGAGGAAACACCTAGAATGCTTTGTAAATTCAACTGTTACCTGAACAAACACTCATTCAATATCTGCTTTAGCAAGGGACCTGTCAGACCCTCTTTGGTCTGAAATCTCAGTGCCGGGACTGCTGGGGGTGCTTTTTCCCAGCCTCCCTCCATAAGCCCAGCCCTGCTCCTCTTGCTCTTGAGGTCTTTAATCTGAAATCTAAAATGTTGTTATATATAGTTCCAAGAAAATCCTCAAAGTCTAGTTCAGCTGAATGTTATGCTTCAACCAGAACAAAACTGTAACCAAATTTGTTAATGTTAAACATCACTAAACATATTAAGTAATATTAAAACAAAGTATATTTTAAACATATGTAGCACAAAACCCAAACTACTTAAAAGAGCCAAAGAAATAACAAAAATGAAAACCTCTGAAAAATGCTAATTCAATTAGCTGTCACAGGATATCTGTATTTTTATGTCCTTGTCACTTTCATCAAGTTTTAGAATTCTCTTCTCCTTTCTCCTTTTTTCCAGAGCAAAAAGGTCAAAGTTAGGGGTTTTAAAAGAGGAAGTCTGACCGTGAAAAGAGAATTTCCTATAAAAATGTGTCCTATGGAAGTTCAGCCATGGAAGAATTATATGCAAATACAAACAACCAAGGGCAAGATATGCTCAGCTGGCTGGGACCGAAAAATCTTGGACCCCATACGCTAAAGGCAGACTTAAAACCAAGAATCCTTGCTTTCAGCACTACCCTTCTTTGAAACTCCAGTTCAAATAGCATTACACATTTCAAAGGTGATCTCAAAATGCTTTATGTAAGTGTTAATTCAGGTGGATGCCTGGAAGAAACTGAAGACATTTGGGTAAAAGCAGCTGCCTTACCTTTATTTTTCAAGAAATTGTATGCTTTGTATCCTGTCATAGTTCATTTTTTTTGCAATATGTAATTTTAAAAGCCCTCTAAAACTTTCAGAAACTTCCTCTTTTTCTAAAAGTGGAGCGCCCTTTTTTTTTTTTTTTTTTGCAAAGAGCTTAAACCAGTGGTTCTCAAACTCTGCAGTGCAGCAGGGCGACCAGGAGGGCTTGTCACACCACAGCGGGCCGCCCCCCACCCCAGGAGTGGTTGATCAGCCGGTCTGAGATGGGCCCGAGAATCTGCATTTTTGCCAAGTTCCTGGGTGATGCTGATGCTGCCGGTCCAGTGACCCCTTTTAGAAGACACAATTTACCCAAGTCCATTTAATTTTTCCAGGTTCAGGATCATACCAACATCCCAAGGGATGAAAAATAATATAATAGTTTACATGTATCAAAGGCCTATATGAATTTTGTTTTGGTAATGGAGACGAAAGGATGGTTTGTTCTCACCTCACAGAAACTTTTATGGCTCTCCAGAGAAGCTGATTTACCAAGAAGTAACTTTGTGGTTGGCTCGAAGGATGGTGCTTTTCTTCTTTCTCACCCCTTCCTTTATCCTTCAAGTTTAGTGGGCTTCTCTATGTTACTATAGATTCTATATGAAAGGCCATTTGACTGGTTCTACACCTGAATGCATGTTACAGTGTCCTGGGCTTTTAGTAGGTTTATCAGTCTCCCAGTTGAAATGCTCGATAGAACAAAGGGGACAACGTACCTGTGGATCAACTGGTCTGAGCATAGGGGGGGTCCGAGCAGGCTGAACCCCACTGATACTGAAGGACTCTGACCTCGGGGGCAGGTTGGGGTCAGATATCCTGTTGGCAACCTTGTGAGGCATGGCAGGTGAACTCTGCCGGTTGAGCCTCGACCGTTCTTCCACCTGGAAACAAAGAGAGAGGCAGGGGGTGTCAGTGGACAGGTGGTTAGAAGCTTATTTACTGCCTAGTAAGGATTTTCTGTAGTCGCCTGCACAGCCCTTTTTCTGTCCCTCCGATCAATTTGGTTTTAGGAAGCCAAACTCTCCATGCCTGCTCTGCATCAAGAATTTGTAAAAAAGCTCTGTCAGACTAAATGCTAGCATGAAAAACGCACTGAATACTTAAGCCATCACTCTTCTCTTACCCTTTATCTTGTGCAGTTTTTTAGTGGAAAATTTGGGGCCTGCTTAAGAGTTCACCTGGCATTGCCTGGGATATTATCTTGGGTCAGGGAGGGAGACAAAGGGAACCATGGCAGGTTGGCATTAAGATCTCTTGGGAAAACTAAACATTGCTCCGAGTTGACTCATGGGACAGAGAAGGGAAGAACACGGGAAGGGGGAGAAGGGAATCAAGCTGAGCACACTAACCCTCCATTTCTTCCCATTCTCTACTGATAGGCAGGGGGGTGGTCCAGGCAGCTCTCTTAAAGAGCATGGCCTGCCTTAACTAGACTACCTCTATCATTTTCCTTTTCTTTCTTTAAGGCCCTATCTTTTCAGTTGTCTCTCCCTGCGCCCTAAAATACATTACCCCTCCTCATTCTTTCCATTTCCAGCTTGGACTCTTCTGTTCCCCTCCCGCCCTCTTCCCCCCTGTCTCTCCACACATGGCCTTCATTCTTGCTTCTCCTCTTCTCTCCCCCTCCACACCCTCTCTCATCTCTGGCTGTGTACTTGTCATTCTCGATCTTGTAGAATCTCTCTCAGCCCCAAGCAGATAACTGATCATGTGCTTCACAGGGAAGGCTCACAGAACCAGAAATGTCCTACTTACAGGTAGAAGTTGCCCTTTGTACTTATTTGCAGCAGATACAGACTGTCACAGAGGACAATTTTAAAGGAAAATTTAGATAAACAAGAGGCACACTGCAAGACATGATTTAAGATCTTCGACAACTTCAAGAGGTTTAGAACTTTTCTTCCAGATCCATCTTGTCATCTCCTTTGTTTCTTTTCTCTCTCTTTTTTTTTTTAAAGCAAGAGAAAATAGCCAGATTTAATACATACATATGTAGGGGAACCCGCATGTATGAGAGAGTCAGAGACCCCACAGGCATGAGAGGTTCAGAGATAAAAAGGGGGATTGAGGTATATAAGACACCCTGCACTAGGGATGAGGTGATGCACCTTGGGGGCTTCAAAGGGTCATTGCAGGATTTTAAGAATAAACCTTTAGTAAAGAGAAGTATGCTCTGCCCTACAGGTAGGTCAAAACAAGTCATCTCTGATAATCTCTTACTATGGGAAAGGCCCCTGATTCAAGTTCTTCTAGGTAGTTAAGGGAGAGAGCAGAAGTTTCACTTGAGCTTGAAGCTAAAACTGCCTTTAAGTCAAAGTAATCTGGGTACCACTGAAGCATACCTTGGGGTAGCTTGTTCTGAACCCCAAGTTCCCTCCTCTGAAAGTTTCATATTCCAGACATTTCCCCTTTGTTTCTTTAGGGTCAATTTGGCAGCTGTACTTTTCAAACCCATTAGATAACTCTCTTCTGCTGACTCGCTGTCTAAGGATTACAAAGCACTGTCATAGAACTCACATGCAGGCCCTCAAGATACATTTATATGCAGCAGCTAAGGGTTTTTATTCATTTTGCTGCCCAATTTGAAATAAATTTTAAAAAAGTGATTTCTTTTCCACTTCCATATCCCATTTTGAATCTTTCTAGAGGCAGAGTCAGTCTCATATATAGAATGTCTGTTTTTTAAACTTTCATATGGAAATTTTTTAACTTAAGATATGCCACAGAATAGAAAACCGCCCTCCTGCCTCTCTTTAGGAGTAATTTTAAGATCTCTTCCCCTACTATAGCTGTGCATGGTACACACAATTGGCATCCTGTTGACTTTGGTTTTGAAATTCTGTGTCCCAGAAGCTCACCACATACCAAACAAGATTAGCTAGAAAAAGTCAGGAATATAAACCAGAACGTATATACTTTGTGTATGTGCATGTGAAAAGTATTATAACAGCAATAATTATTTGGTTATTGCACTGAGTGAAAGCAAAGAATGCAGCCAGCTTGGAGGGAAGGCGACCAAAAAAGCAAAGTCTGCAAAGATAGTAATAGGTAAACTGAGATCAGGGCAAGAAATGCACTGCTTTTCCAAATTCTAGACTCTATGAAAAGAAGGTGACTATTTCCAGACCACTAGAATTATATCAAATGTTATTTCTAGGGAATATCACTATTAGATCAATCACCTGTCCCAGCACCCCTGACTACATGAACTCCCACCATCCAAACCACTGCTGTCTGAACGTAGGAATCCAGGAGATTCAGACACACTTTCAGATAAATACCTGACTGTCCAAACTATAACCACTTGTTACCTGACATTCAAGAACCAAATATATTCAGAGAGTAAAGAATACCCATCATTATTATTATTTAACTGCAAAGTATCCTCAATTGTAAGCACACGTTTAGAGGAAGTACATTAAAAACAACAGTCAAAAGGTCTGTCCCCAAAGGTTCCATCCTGAGCAAATAGACCATTTCTGAGACAAAGAATTCTTTTGGCAACTGCCAGTTACAGGCTCTGGCAAAGAAAGCATCTTTGCCTCTAACAGGACCACAAGCTACACAGGTCCTAAAGCTGCCATTAGAAATGAACAGAGCAGAGAGTGGGGTGCTGATTTTCATAGGTAGTTAATGGGTGTGATTAGTCATGTGTAGATATTACTAATGTGCTTCTCGTAATATTTCCTATGCCTTCTATGATTTAATTTACATACTTAATCCTACCATTAGTGCTTCAGTCTGTGCCATTATAAAGTATACAGTAAAAATAATCTGTTACCCTTAGAAAATTATGCCAGAATGGGTCCAGTGTGATAAACTTTCCTGGGTTGGAGTTTGTCCTAAGAAATTGGACGATCTATCAGAAGGGTGTAATGGAAGGCGTCCGGCTACCCGTTCTGCCTGAGAAAACTTTTATTTAGGAAGATAGTGCTGTCCCTTGCTTTTGCACCCAAGAGATAGCATACGTATTAGAGGAGAGATGTTAAACCAAACATCCTAATAATGGTTTCCGAAGGAGGAGAAGCTGTGCAGTGCATCCAGGAGCACTCCCTTCTGATTGTTTTGATACTGGATCAAGACCATCTCCTGATTCATCACATCTCATGTCTACTAATTGAACAAGAAATAGGTATGCGAGACAAAAGAAGAAAGTATCTCCTACTCCCACCCCAGGATAAGGATATATATGATTGGAAACTGGGGTATAATAAAGATCTGTTTCAATCTGCCTTGCACATTACTCCAAAAAATCTATTAGCTGAGCTTCTGCTCCAATCTCCTGTCGCCAAGGAGATGTAAAATACCAGAAGGACCACCAAGAAAGTGTTGTAGTAGTATCAGACAGAGTGTCAAGGTGACAGACCACAAACAAAAGAAATCTGTTACAATAGATTTCATAGTTGAAAGGATTATTGATGAATATAGAGATTAAGAGAGACATCAATTACTCCTCTAATATAAAAGCAATTTTTTTCTTACTAAAAGGATGATTTTAACACCAAAATTAAAATAACTTTGGAGAGATTTGGATCACCTCTGCAGAAATGCTACTCTATTTATTAAAACATTATATGGAGAAAGAAAATATAGCTGTGATCTCAGAAATAAAATTCTACTCCAGGTAGAGCTACTTTGTCCACTGGGTATTATGGGAGTGATGTCTAATGCCTCTGAGATGTGTAAGAGCTACACAAATACAGAAGACTTGAAAATAAATTTGTTGATTACACAATCTCAAAAAATTATTCTAAAGAAATAAAAATATATTTAAATATATATAAAAGGAAACATATTAATGTCAATCATTAAATTGTTTCATATACTTGAAAACAATTTATGGCTTACACTGTCTCACTTAGCAATAATGAATATTTGCTAAGAGAATTCCAAACAAAATTATGGAAGTGATTTAAAGTGTTGACAGCAAAATATATTTTTTATGCCATATCAGTGCATTTTAATAATTTTGTGTATGATGTAGAGCCTGTGGGGTCTGTGAAGATTTTAGAAGGCCTTATTTAAGAGCTACTATGTGTTGAATTAGACACAATCTTATGGGAATTCCTTTTTATTCCAAATGAACAAAACAGTTTGAATTTTTATCTTTATGTGCAATGCTGGAGAAAGAGAGAGAAGTCAACGAATAACTTTTAACTGCTCATTAGCTACTTTGACCCTGCGTTCCCTGGCCACATAAAGAGTTGAGTCATCTTGTCCTTTGGCAAAACTACATGGACAGGTGGTTACTGAGTTAATAATGGGGATATCTTTTCCGTGAGGCACCTTTGATGTCAGGGAAGACTCATTCATATGAAATGCTTAAAATGCAGTGTTATGGGAAGATAAAGGCCTAATCTATTTTTCTGAGAGAGATCCTAATCAATGATTCAGAGGAAAATATAGGTCCTCATACAAATGAGGCTCATAACTTAAAAATAATGAGGCAAATCTAAAGCTGAGACAGGAAATGAAGATGTACGCATCTATCACTGGGGAAGGGCAGGTACAGGATATGAGAGATACATGTAAACTGCTCATGTGAAAACCAAACCAGATGCAACAGAGGCAAAGCACATGTTCCTTGCAGGTGACAATGGCCTTGGGAACAAAATGTAAATATATGAATGTTATATTTAATTTGCATCTCTACAGTGCCTATAGTTTCAATGGCACACTCAAATACATGACTGCTCAGGGTCTTCCCAACTTCAAGGCAGGAAGTACAGGTGGGGAACTGCCCTTTAAGAAGTCTGCGAGACTAGTCCCAGGTCACACAGCAAGAAAGTAGAGGAATTTGAACTCATACTTCTTACTGCTTCCTTCTAGGTCTCTCTCAAGCTCAATCTTAAGAGAGATAATCAGAGACTGAGAAAAGATAGGAGCAGAACTGTTAACTCTCAAAATGGCAATTTAGGGACCTCATGTATAAAATAACTCACATAAGGAAAACACCACATCAGAGTAGAACAGAGAAAACCAAGTGGAGAGGGAGTTCTTATGTATAGGGATTTCAAAGTCCAATGAGCTGATGGGATACAAAGGGACATCCTAGCCCATTATTTGCCAAATATTGTAAAACCATGGACAGATGACTGGCATGCACCATAGGGAGAGAACATGACACAGTGTTAAAAAAATTAAAATACAACTTCATGCAATACTCATGTTGACAGAGCATTCTGTCACTGCCATATGGCGAGGAAGGAAGGGAGGAAGGAAGGAGGGAAGGAGGGAAGGAAGGAAGGGGTAAAGTATGGAGGTGGGGTAGGAAGGCACACACACTTACTGTCAGATCCAGACAATCACATACAATTTTAAGGAAAGGAATCTGTTCCATTATAAGAAAAAGAAACTTCATCATTCAAAAAGTAATAGAAGGAAAAAAAAGGCCTTCAAACTTTGCTGATGTTTAACAGAATATCATACTGATATTTTCACAGAACAAACCTGACTTCCATTCCAATTCAGAAATGGCAGAGAATTTGAATGGGGTGAGAATAACCCCCCTCCTTTTAATAGAGACCGGAATGTTTCCTTCCAGCTGAAACGTGAGAGTCAAAGCCAATGTGACTTTCAGGAGAGATAGATAGTCAGAAAAAAAATAGATTTGAAAGAGCTCAACAAGATTTGCAAATGATCAAGCATTTTCATTTGTTCTTACTGCGTCTAACAAACTAATGAAATAGATAATGAGAAATGCAATGATGACTTACATTTTACAAGAGGAAACAACAAAAACACAGAGGAGGAAGCATTATAACAACACTGCATTTTAAGGACCAAATGTTGATTTGGAATAAGAGAGGCGGATGGAAAAGTAATCAAAGAAGAAAAACCCATCTCGATGAGAAGGTACAGAGTTAAGTAGATAATTAACACTGGAGCAGATCACAGAGGAGGCTGTGGTGGGGGAGGATGACTTGGTGGAACCTTCAATGGCATCTGGGGCAACAAGCCCAGACCCCAAGTCACAGGAGACCATGTGATGGGCACAGCTGCCCTCTCTTTCCTGGTGAGGATATTAGCAAATTTATATCCTGGTAGAGGATGCATTTGAAAAATAAAATGGTACCTTTTATTCTACCTTCAAAAGACAGGTGTAACCCAGGTTGTTTATCTCCCTACTACAAGAAAAGAGATCTGTAAAAGCGTTCTCAAAGAAAAGTTTGTACGTTGCTGACGAGAAACATTAAAAGATTAAGAAGGTAAGGATCCTCACACTCATTTTTATCCCCATTTTGAGAAACGGGTGTTAAAATAATGATGAATCAAACCACGACAGACAATTATTTGTTTTTAGTTGTATAATACACCAGTTGTTCCAATCCCAAACTTAGCACTTGTCACTCATTTTATCATCTAAATGCTTCATCTTTCTTTTAACATATGAACACCCACTCTAAGACTTGGGAACTGGTTCATGAATAGATTGATGGTTAGTTGAAAGATGGATTATGTCAACCACACCCAGGAGTAGAGGACTAAATATGAAATCCCAAAAGAATGCTCCCACGTGTCTAGAAGTACATGAAGGCCAAAGGAAGAGCACCAGCTACTAGAGTTGCCAGGGAATTTGGAAGATGCCACCCCCTGGAGGTGGCCCACACTTCTGATGGCCAGGGAACCTCCCACGGGGAGTGCTTGATGACACAGCCATGGTGTGTGCGTGCCCAGCAGGAAGTATCCCATCTACTGCTAGGAGCCTGACCAGGAAGCACAGGGGAATTAGGAGTGCTGGAAAACTGCTTTGATGTCTGCAAAGATTGGTTCCCAGGAATACCTCGGCTTCCAAAAGTTTGGGAAATGTAAACTACTTCTGAATAGAGAGCACAGGCTAGGACACTCAATGATGAAGACAAATAGTAACTAGAAAACAATGAAGTCCAAGTAGTAGTTAAGTTCCAATCAGAATGTGCTGAGTAGAGGCATAAGGAAGGACATGGAAACTGTTCCAGGCTTTCCCCCCATTTTTAGTACATTTGTGCATGAGGGAACTGCACAGGAGAAAGAAGGAATTCTGGGATGCTTGGCAAGGAATCATGGTCTTCTCCAATGGGATATGCAGGTGTCCTGGTCCTAATCTCATGCTTGGGGCTGGGAACACTGAAGGCCAGGTGGTCATACATCAAGGAGAGGTCATTTAGCAATGTAGCACTTCTTAGAGGAGGTAAGGTACTTGAAGGATGCATGAACTCATATTTCTCCTGCCCCGAGGTTCATGAGTCTCTAAGGCACTTCTTAATTGCAGTAATGGACAAATGGGGGGGGGGGCTTATCACTTTGAAGATGTTGGGAGAGTACACACAAATAACCTTAGACCCTAACTCTAGAGTTGGGCCACATTATTGTGAGCAAGATTGCTTTGGAGATCTCACTATGGCCCTTGAGACTAACTTGGGCTTCAGTTGTTCTTCAAGACCAAATCGAACAGGACAAGCTGCTCCATCTTTTTCCCATGAGTGGTGCTCAAACAGGAGTCTTGGTCTGGAATCATTAATTTCTAGAGGGGCTACGGGCATTAGCTTAGGAGGGGCTAGTTTTTCAGTCTTCTGAACACCTGCCATAACCAGGAGCTGTGAGTCTGGCTCAGCTGAAAGTTTCAGCATGGCCTGGCTAGGCAATGGTTTAGCAATGGAAGGAGAGGGCACACTTTGCCAGCCAGGATGCACTCAGTCACTGTTGTTTAATAGCATAATGATTCTGCTTAGCTGGAAGAACAGGTAAGTTAGTAAAGGGTTGGCAGGAGTAGGGTCACAAAGGTGAATTACTGATCTAAGAGAACGAGGTAGCTGTTACAGACAGAGGGAAATGCAAATCATATTTATAGATTCAAAGGGAAAAAAATGTCCTTTACAGAAAATCAAATGATTTTCTCTACAAATTTAGTTTTTTATGTTTTGGAAGGAAAAAACCTACTTTTCATAAAAACAGTGCATACTCATTACAAAGGATTTAAACAATATATAAGTGTACAAAAATGTTTAAAGAAAAAACCTGTTGTTTCTTACTCCCATAAACAACTGTCATTTTCATTAGGACAACATCATTTCAAGCATTTTCTATACATATGGAAGAGAATAGAAAAATAAAAAGAAAGTTTTTATAAAAAATAGGATCTTTTATAAGAAATCTGATTCTGGTAATGTTGTAGTCTAGATAACTTGAAATAAGTTCTAGCTAAAAATACCTGAAGATACTAGAACAAAACACAAAATAATGCCAACATTCTTTTATTTATTTTTTTTCATTTTAATTTTTATTTATTTATTTATAAATATATTTGTCTCTGCCTCCCCCCCACCACTTTCCCTTGCCCCCTCCCTCATTCCCTCCCTCAGCTCTTCCCCTTTGGTTTTGTCCATGAGTTCTTGCTATATGTTCCTTGACCAACATTCTTTTAAATGATGAGCTATGCTCACAAAAATATAAAGGAAATCACTAGGTTCCACAAATAGTGACAGAACTGAAAACCCGGGTGTTATACACACGAGGTGATACCATGATTCCCAACAGAAGAACTGTTGGTCTTGGCTGGAGTTATTATTTTGTTTGTTTGCTTTATCCATTTGGTTATCACCCTTTTTTCCTACTATCCTAACAGTTTTTAATGAGATTTTAAAAATAGCTCATCACAGAGCCAAGGACCACTACTGTGGAAGTATATGTAAAACAAATGACCTCTGACCCTGGAAGTGAATACCACAGCCACAAGTCTGAGGCCCACTGTGTGTCCACTGGTACCACCAAAGAAAAGGTATTAGTGTCAATATTAATGATCAGTTTCAGGGGGTAGGTATAGACAGCAAATGATCTTACCTAGAATTTCTTGTGTCCTTAGTCATATAATTCCATGGAAAAGTTACTAAAAATCCTCATGCTACAAACTCACCTAGACTCCTCTAAGGGAAATGCTTTTTCTAATTCCTGTTTTTGTTCACAAAAATCCACTGTATTTGCAATGATACAAAAAAACCCCCCAAAACAACAACAAGACTAAGGTGACTTGGCATTTCTCTATAGAAATAATGGTATGGCTCTCCCAAAAGCAAAGCATGCACGCCTCACCATGAATTGTTTTCTAGGTTCACAGCACTAGCTTGACTCTCCACTTTCACTGGATGAACTCATTACAGCCAACAGCCTGGCCAACAGGGTGTGGTTACACTTGCTTGCTCACTTACCTCCTTGGCCCATGCTGGCTTCTCACTAGGACTCATCCCTTCTTTGTAATGGTACAATGGCTTCTTCTCCACGGGCCTCTGCTCCTGCCGTTGGTGCTGAAGGGAAACCAAGTAGTCTCTCTCTTGCTTTAGCTGTCTCTGCAGTCTTTCTGCTTGTCTCTGTTCTTCCAATTGTTTGCGCTTATATTCCTGTCCAGATCAGGAAAAAGCAGCAAAATCACCATACAGAACCCATTGGCCAGTATCAGCTAAGCATGCAGTGGAGCCAAAAGTGATGCTAAATAACAGAGGACCTCAATAATGACATGAGGATATGAGGATGTGCCACAGAGCTAAGCTACGGCTTTGGCTTAACATCTACACAGAATGTGGCATTAATGAAAACACTATTGCCTTAATAGCAAGCCCTACAGAACATTACCCATTGCAAAGTAACTTATCCTTGATGAATTACAACCAGGAAAGTGGCAATAATGAGGGCATTTGTATGGTCAGTACACAACCTCTATATGGAGCCATCCACTTCCTGATTTAGTAATTAAACCATTCAAACATGTACAATTAAGTACAAAACTAAAAGAGGAGGTAAAAACATTGCCTGCACTTGGATCAACGAAAGCCATCAACAAGCTCATGTACAGGCTAGAAAATACCATACAGCCACAGAATAAAAAGCTCAGTTAGAAAAAAGACACCAAGAAGCTCCTTTGGAGAGCACTGCAATAATAATAATAAAAAAAAAAGTACTTCAAGTGGAAGCTGCATGAGCAGGGAACACAAAATGTTCCCATCATAAGGGTAAAACTAATAGTCTGCAAATGAAACATGACTGCGGAGCTGAGTAGGTTTTTATGGAAGAAGTGCATTTTGCTGTGATTGTATTCTAGCATGTTGCCAATGACCTTAAAAAGTCACTCTGCAATAATCACAGCGAGTCTCAAAAAAAGTCTGAAGTTATAATAAGGCTGGATTCATGTTAAAGTTTTACAGATAGATAAAGTTTATAAAAAAAAAAACATAGCAAGTGTATCGAATGTGCTGAGACTCAGAAAACTGGGTCAGGAAACGTATGAAGTCTCTATGAGATTTCTGAGGTCCACGAGGCTTGAAGGATCTCCACTTCCAGACTGGCACGTTAGGAGGACAACCAAACACACACGAATACACGCGCACACGCACACACACATACATGCATGTGTGCACAAACACACGACGAACACAGAGCAGGTCAGCTGGCTCTTGGCTTTCCCATTACCAGAAGTAGAGCTTGTTCATGCAGTAGCTGCTGCTGCAAGATCTCTAACTGTCTCTGCTCCTCCTCTAACTGTCGCCTGATGTACTCCTGGAGAGGTAGGCAGCAGAGAATTCAGAGGAACGCAAAGAGAGAAAGAGAGAGAGAAAAAGAACTGGTAATTTCAAAGATGACAAGAGCTGCCAAGTAAAGTGTGGAAGGAAGGAGGGAAAAAAATACCCAGACACCTCCTCACAAAACAGGAAAAGTATGCCGCACCGAAGCAAAAGCATTTCAATGCAGTCAAAAGCACAAGCCCGCCACCTGCAAAAGCTGACCGAGATGGCTCAGTGCTTTGCTGTGACTATTTGGTTTTAATAAAACCAGCTACATTTTAAAGCTTTTCATTACAGGTTCCCTCTTTATGGGCTACCTGGAATTAACAATGTTATAAAGAGTGGAGGCTCCTGTGCAAACAGCAGGGATAAAATAATTGTGTCATTGTGCACTGTCTTTGTAATGGAACCACCCTGCAGAGTTTTACTGTGCTGTCAGAATGTGGTTCCAACAAAAGGGAGGGGGCCCTGCGTCAATGGCTCAAAGTCACGGAGACCAGAGATTGCCTGAGTAGAAAAGCTCTTCTGAAGCAATGAAAGAGTAGGACGTGGATCATTTATCACGCTTCAGTGCTACCTTCAAAGTAGATACCCAGGGTTGGGAGAATCAAAAGATCAATGTATGTCAGGGCAGTTGGGCCGGGGTAGGAAGCAAGGTTGAATGAGCGGGCATTGCCAAGGCTGTGCATTTGACTTCTTGAATGGGTGAGAATAGTTGCTTGAGAAAGAATAAAAATCTGCTGAAACTGAGCAGTCCTAAGAGAAGGTGACCCATACCCCAGAGACAGCTGGTGCTCTGGGGCCATCTGCGGGCTCCCCAGTCCCAGCTGTACCTGCTCGTGCTCCGCACGCCTCCTCTCCTCCTCCCGGCGCATCTGCTCCTCGTAGTGCCGGCGCTGCTCCCGCTCCTGCTGCTTCCGCAGCTCCTTCTCTCGCCTTTGTTGCTGGGGGGCAACAAGCAGACAACTGTGAATGAACTGAACACAATTGGGGGTGGGTATCGGGAGCCCAGCAGGGAAAGCTGCAGAACTGCAATTGTGGGCTCTTAACAAGAGATGCTTATGTGCCCAAAGGCGCTTTCTCTCCTGTGTTATGGGGGATACGTTGGCAAGAATGAGGTAAGAAGTACAATTGACAGTTACAAAAAAGTCACAAAGATGTGCAATACAGCACAGGGAATACAGTCAATAATAACATGATAACTATGGGTACTGGAAATACTTAGAAATAACACGTTGTGAAGTATACGATTGTCTAACCACTGTGCCGTACAACTGAAACTCATACAAAATAATATCGAGAGTGACAAAAAAAGAATGAGGTGACATAGAGTAAAATTCAATGTCATGCAGAACACCTTGCTATTTGCCATGCAAGTGGGCTCTCTGGGTTTATATGTCTCCCCCGAGAAGCTCCCATTAAGTGCATTCTCCCAACTGGCTGACGGGTTTTCGAATCAGGGGGAGAGACACTCAGGTACAATCTTACTTACTACATCTTATCAAACTGTTAATGAGATTCTATAGGTTTTAAACTATTTTCTTATTTTTTAAAAAGATATGTATCTATTTTACAGAGAGGGAAAGAGGGAGAGAAACATCAATGTGCGGTTGCCTCTCGCACACCCCCCAGCTGGGAGCCCGGCCTGCAACCCAGACATGTGCCCTGACTGGGAATCGAACCAGCAACCCTTTGGTTTGCAAGCTGGCGCTTAATCCACAGAGCCACAGCAGCCATGGCTGAGATTCTACAGGTTTTAAAGCACATTCACAATGCTCATGTCATTCTGTCTTTCTGACACCAAAGAGGGCAAGCATTTCATAGCTACAGAAAGCAAAAACCAGAGTGGTAAAGTGACGCATTTAAGGCCACACAATAATTAATGGCTGAGGGTAAAAGAGGATTTATTGACTCCCACCCAGTCCACCGGGCTGCCTTTCTTCATTTTCTGGAATACTCACTGTGGAGTATCAATTTCAACTTCTTACTCAAATAAGACCCTTAAGCTCGGGAACCATCATCGTCTCATCGAATCGCCATACCACTGACCGTGGACAGTGCATTAAAGGACCTTTCATCCGTTGTCTTATTTAACCTTCACAGAAATCTTCTGCGGCAGATATTATTATCAACCTCCATTTTATGTGAGAAAGCTGAGGCACAGAGATATGAAATAATTGCTTAGGGTCATGCCCACATTCAAGGTCAATCCCAGTCAGTGGTGGAGGTTGATTTCAAAGCCAAGAAACGTGACTACGATCTGAGCGCCATCATTACAAAAGGTGAAGGGGCAGCAGGAGTGATAGAAAGATCACAAATTAATCCAGCTCTTCATTATACTCTCAGGGAAGAGCCTCGTAGGGGTTGTCCTAGGAGCCAACGTGCCTCAACCAGGGATAGTAATGTTCCCCGGTCCCTGGAGCACTGGTGATGTGTGGGGAATGTGGGAGAGTTTCTGGTTGTCCCAATGACTGAGGAACATGCCAGTCACTAGTGTAAGAGGCCAGGGACGCTAAGAATCCCACAATATGCAGGATAGTCATACATTATAAAGTATTTTTCATGCCCCATACCATTAGTGTCCCTTCTGAGAAATGCCGTAGGCCCCTTCTTTTGTGTCAGAGCCCGGAAACAGTATTGTGATTTCTTCTCCCTCAAATACAGGGTTGGAGGGGGCCTCTCAGGGGGTCCACTCCTTTGTAATATTCTCAACAATTCACATCCTGCCTGAGGAAACATGACTTACTCAAAATAGAATGGATTGTGACTATATCCCACTGGCAAGATAGCTCTGCAGAACCAGGGAAACAGCTTTCCAGTACAAAAGCTCTGTCACAGTCCCAGTGACCACAGATACTCAAAACTCTCAAGGAGCTCACAAGGGGGAGGCCTTTCTGATGTGACGTGGCTCCCGCCTGCAGTCCCTGGGGCTGCTGTCTTCCCATCACCACTGAGGCTCAGAAGATAAGCTGCACTTCGGGGCACTCAACATCTATTGTGTCCGGTTCAACAATTACTTGTCCACCTTAGACTGCAGGCGATGGGGAGCCACTGGAGAACCATAAGCAGTCAAATGCCATGATCAGATTTGCATTTTTGAGAGGCCCCCTAACAGCCAGGAGAGAGGGTGAGTTGAGAAGCTGGAAGGCAGAGCGAGGTCCTTCTATGGATCCAGGCAGAAAATGGTGGGGCACCAATGAGTGAAGCAAAGGCAGTAGGAGAGGCCAAGTTCATAACCGCTGCTGAGGATGGAGACACAGCCAAAAGGAAGGAAGATGAAAACCTACCCAGATTTTCAGTTATTTTAACGGGACTGGGGTGGACTCCAACTTAGAAGTAGAAATTCGAATTGGGCCAAAATAAAATAGGCAGTTGGGTAACCGGGGGGCATGTAAGGGTGAGTGGTGCTTCTGGCCGCGGGGCGTGGCAGATGGTGCCAGAGAGGAGAAAACACAAGGCTAGGAGGGAATGGGGGGATAGGGATGAATCAAGTTCCAGATGTGCAATTATTGTTTTAAGGAAAAAATAATACAGGAAGGTGTGAGTAGAAAACATCATCTTGGGAACTGATTGAATAATTCTGATTATAGACCCAAAACAGAGAGATATTTCCAAGCCTCAACCAAAGCAAATCAGTGCCAGCACGGAGAATAAAATAATTATGTGTATGGATCTGGTTCCTAGCAGGAAATAGCCCTAATTTAGCTAGAATTTCAAGTTTTTCACTCCCACCATTGGTCTCTTTCTTGAGGAAAAAAAATAATCAAGCCTTTGGAAGATTTAGCTGATTTTTATGGGAAGGATTTGTACCTTTTCAACCGCTTTGCCAGGAATCAATACTGTTTTATAATTACATGCCACTCAGGTCGCCGTGCAAGGTGTATACAGTATTGATTGCAATTCAAGAGGGTCTGGGCTTCCCAAGTACTCTGTAGTTTCTGAGAAAGACACTCAAAAGTGACTAATAATTAATACTGATCTCACTCAGATCAGCTGCTGCTACCTCACGGAAGCATCTGCCAGGGCTCTGGTTCCTGTGGCGAGGCTGGAAAAATAAATCACTTCCGCAACCTTCTGAGGGCACCTTGCCAATTTCCAGCTGCTGTGTTTCAACATCAATGCTTTTCTAGGGAAAATGTTTGCTCTCTCTCCTCCCGGGCGTTGGGCTGTTTAAGGGGACATACCAAAACATGTCAGAGAACAACCAGGTTCTGGGCTTCAAGCTGACACCTTTACAAAGCTCTGATGACTCTTGTTTGAAGCAGCGCTTTGAGACTCTATCCTGGTGGACCCCCAGCCTCTCCCTTGGAACCCAGCACCTCAGAGGGGCACAAAGGACTTTGGGGAATTGAACCAAGTGAAAACACTTGAGGCAAAAGAAGAAAGCACAGTATCCTCTTATATTTCTGTGGTGGTATTTCCTCTCCTATTAGTACATATAGATTTGATCCCATTGTACTTCATTCATATCCTGGTCATTTGAGTATGCCTTACCTACTCTGCAGTCCAGGTTGAAACCCACTTGCAGGTAGGGTCTTTGTTCCACTCTATCCAACATGGGGCCTGATACCATGATGCTTGTTGCATTGAATACTGTAGATGGGGTAGCATGAGAAGGGAGAAAGCCTTATGGAGCCTCAAACTGCTCCTTCACCCTTGTAAACCCTCCAGGCCAGAATATTTTTATGCTGAGCACAGCCAAGGCCGGAGAATGTTTGTATAAACAGATACCCACCTCCGGTTGGCACTGGCATAGTATCTATTGGCCATCTTAGAAAAAGGCAAAAGAAAAATAAAATAAGGGACTAAGAGTCTAGCTAGAAGAACTGGAAAAGGGGAGGATAGTATTTCTGAATTTCATTCAAATTATGCATAAAGACATCAGTGGTTCTGCTGTTAAAAAAGAATGGTTTAAATCAACTACTCTAAAATTCTTGGCTGATGCCCTACCTGGATGGAATTGCCTGGAAATGAATTTTCATCCACATCTTTTTAGATGCATCTCCAAAAGTTATATCGCTTAAAGTTAGACATTCAGTGGGTTCTTATAAGTTTCCTAGTGTTTTTCACCCTTCTGATTGGGGGATGATCGATAATACTCATTCTGAAAATTTTCCAGACTAAAATCATTGTAGCCTTGCTCTACAGAGTAGGTCACCAGGGTCTTCTTGTCTCCCTTGTAGTCTGTTGGTGTTTCCCAAAGAATGATGTTTTTTAAATAACAGTTTGATCCTCTCCATGGATGTTGCCCATCTGACTACCTCCAGGAGAGGGTTGTGTGGCTGCCCTTTCAATATATGGACCAGGAAGTCCATTTTAATGAGGATAATCATCCTGCAGTCTGCTCAGCATACCTCAAAAGTTATACATTTATCCCAAACAACTATGCAGAATTTTGGGTCTTTACATTCTTGCAAGAGAATATCATCTTAACCCTTAAATATTCAATTCTTATTAAAGTTATACGAAATAATCTTCATGGGTGTTCATGACAAAGACTATGGAGTTCATCCTTCCTTCCTTTTGTTTCTTTAAATGTTATTTTTGGATGGAGTTTAGCCAGCAGAAATATGTGAACTGCATAGGGTGCTCTGGCTCTTGCAAAAGTGATTTTGATGGACTGTGAGGCCATAAATTGCAGCTTACAATGTTATCAGAGCAGCTGAATAAAGTTATTCACTGTGCTTGTGGTAGGACTATTGTCTCAACCATTATTCACAACACTACTCTCCATGACTAGGCAAGTGTACAGGTTTTCAACTATCTCAGAAAGCTTGCCCGAGTAGCAAGTTTACTCTTGCCTGATGGACAACATGAATCTCGAACCCTCCAAGTCGAGTCTGCCTCTTCTTTTAGCTGCCAGGACTCTTAGAGTCGGCTGTGTGGGCTTTCTGGGAGCTGACCTGGCTCCATCTTCTTTTTCTCTTCTAGTTTCTAGTCCCTT